CTATATATTTAATTAAAAATAATTTGATAAGGGATTTTTTTTCTTTAGTTAACCTTTCTTGTCTATATATAGCAGTTGTTTTTCAATTGATTTGAGAATGCTTGTAAAGAGCAAAGCGTTAACAAGAAAATAAACATTTTAAACATCCAACTGGTTTTCATGTATTCTGTCTTACTATATGAGAGTGTAAGTTCGAGTAAAATTATTGTCCAAATGTAAGTGATCAAGCTCTTTTAATCATACTTAAAACTGTGTAGCTGTTATACCTTCTGATGACATCAAAGTTGTTATGGTGAGAGATGTTTTCATTGGCTAAATTTGTCTTCACTTGTTGAAAGCATTTAAAAACAGTTCCAACAATGAAAGATTTTATTTAGTTTGAGTTTTTTTTTTTTTTTTTTTTGATTAGTGCTTAGGAACATCAAACCCTTGTAAACAACAAATATTTTCATTTTTTTAATCGATTCACATCAAGCAAAGCAATAAAGCCACTAAGACACAAAGGGTTACTGAGTGTGAAAGAATAAGAAAAATAAAACATTAAGGAGAGAGAACAATAAAAGAACAGGAATTAAAAAACAAGATAACATTGGCATTGGATTTAAATTTTTGAAGTTCAAAGTTGACTGGAAGGCAAGAAGCTGGAAGAGTTCCACAAGCAAGAAGTGTGAGAGAAGAAACTAAGATAGAACTTAAGGTTATATCTAGCCATTTCATCTCTAAAATGAGACCTTGCCACCAATCTAGTACTGCACTTAAATTCATAATGTCTAAGTACCAAAGAGGAAAGCTCATAAGAACATAGAGAAAAGGTGCAGAGAAGCAACATTACAGAGGTGGGACAGTGACTGAAGTCAAGGTGCCAGCTCAGGACAGATAACATTGCAGAATCTTTGGATTTTATCAAGAATCTTTATATGCAGAGCAGAAGCACCAGGCCATATGTAGCAGCAGTATTCAATGCATGGACAAATGGTAGACTTATAAGATTTATTTTGGCTGGAAAAACCAACTTTTCTAGTAGCAGTCCTAGCAATTGATTCAATATAATTTTTCCATTTCATGTCAATGGAAAATGTTAACCCAAAAAGGTACAATGAGTCTAAAGGTTAACATCAGCCATCCTGATGGAAGGCAGAAAAGGTTCTCTCAGACAATTAAGAAAGCAGTTTCATTTTTGTGATCAGCTGGCTATTTCATCTGTCATACTTACCATTATGACAGGAGTAAAAAGTTGTCTTCAGCATAGAGACTGAGTTGAGAACTGATGACTTTAGGAAGATGGTTGATAAAAATTAGGAACAAGATATGCCCAAAGATAGAACCCTGGAGGGCACCTACATTAATGCAAAAAGATCTAGAAGAGTAAGTCCTTCAAGATCACTTTCATTTCATGAAAGACTAAATCAGATCAAAAATTAACCCAGAAATAACCTGTGAAGAAGACCAGCATGTCAAAACCTGATGCCTTCATGTTATCCAAAGTAACAACCCAAGCTTCATCATTCTTATCTAAAGCTTGATCTACTCTTTCAGCAATAACTGTTAACACATCAGCAGTTAACATAGAGAAGTGAAAGCCATATTGCTTATCTGAAATAACAGCCTTGAAGTGTGATGCTTATCCAATTCAGAGTTGATTAGAGTATTTTAATTGCAACCAAATACACTCAAACTATGAATGAGGTGAAGTAGCTATGAAAAGCATTATATGTTGATGCATATTAACAATTTACTACAAAAAAATTAAAAACATTTAATGTTGTCATCACTAATAATACCAACACTAAAATAAAATATAAAACACTGCAGTAATGTCATCTATGAATTATGTCCAATGGGGAATTGTATTCCTTATGCACAAATATCAAATTCATGTATAAGATGCACAGCCACTACTCTGGCTTATATATTAACTTGTTACCTTATGGATCACGGTACAATCTGCACCAATATCAGTAATCGTATATCTCCACCAACATAAGACATATTCATAATCAACATATGTATTATATAATATTAATTGTAAAAGAAAAATTCCACCTATTAGGAACCTTAACCATAAAAATTGAAACTGGTTTTAAATGTATTCAGCAACTGAAGATACATTTAGCTAATGAAGAATCTCATACCAGTCACATCCCCATGTCATCATAAAATATAATGGCCATATCAAATTTTAAATAGCATTTGAATAGAGGAAAGATTACATAACCTTGGGTCTTGAAAATGACCAAATGTATGGTTGAAAGCACTAACATTCAGATAATATCTATTCTTATTGGATCCAAATATATGGTCTTATACAAGAATAGCTAAGTAAAATAATGTTTTTCTAAATTGAAGAGAACCATCCTTGTCCACCATTTTAATATATATATATATATATATATATATATATATATATATATATATATATATATATATAAACACAACTTATTTTCTGCCAACCATTTTCCTCTTCCACACTTTTCTTTTAACTTTCATGACTTTGATTCATTTACATGTTTTTCAAAAAAATTAACCTGGTGCAGTTGGAGCTATTTGCAGCATTGTTTGGGTTCGCCTGCTTACATTCATGCCATTTTATTAGCTTCACCCACATTTTTACAAATGTTAACATTCAACAAAAGCTCTTCGACAATCACTTTATTTTGCATGTTTATTTTTTATTTTTCATTATTGCATTTTGATCACTTTGCTATGGCTTTTGCAATTAAATATCATTTTTATATAATTTTTATTTGTCAATTTATAACTTTTAAACTTGTATAAACAAGAATTGTCTGATTGAGTATCCATAAAGAGATTTTCTTGTTTTCACACACACACCCAAAACAGATGTCAATTTAGTCACATTCTCATATGTGGCTAAATAGGCTTCTGTTCCAACTATCAAGAAATATAGCATAAAATGTTAATAAGAATCTTCTCCATCAAAATAAAGCACCAAGCAGATGTCTGTCTTCTAATTCATGGATAGCAGTCTTAGTTGTCATCTTCTCTATGCTAATCAATCAGTTTTTAAAATTTGCAAATTGCCATTTTTTTCTAAAGCTTTTTATCTTGGGGTTCATTTTCATCACAACAAAAACCTATTATGTGTATTAATAAAATATTTTTTTTGTCAAATCAGGTAAAACATTTTTTAGTTTTTCTCATAAGATAATTGAAACATAAACTCTCCAATTATCTTTTACGCTTAAAACACTATTATTTCATACTTTTGGTAAATAAATTAAATAAATAATGACATTTTTGTTGAGTGGATGAAAAGATTAATTTATGAAATAAGAGGAGTAATAAAAGATGTATGTGAAGCAACAATCAATTTCATACTCTCTTTGCTGTTAAGAATTAATTTTTTTGTTTAAGCTTCTTCTCTACATAAACATTTCAGTACACAATCTCCAAAACCTTTCAGACTTGACACATTTCAGAATTCATAATTGGTTCAATTTCAAAATATCTGTATTAGAGGAAGTACTGAAAATTTCTTGGTTCAACCCACTTCCCAAAATTTGACCAAACATCAAAACTGACCAAGAAGCCTCTTTTTTGTGCATATATATATATATATATATATATATATATATATATATATATATATATATATCTTATTACTATAAGCATTACTTTTTGTGAGTACACACATTAGATTTGAAATCTTTTATTTCTATTTTTTTAAACAGTGAAATTAATAACAACTAGCTGAGATTGGAAATTATTTTTAGTAGGATTTCTCAAAGTGATAAGAAATATTGGATTAAATATATATATATATATAGCAAACGGATTAAATCTGACATATTTTTAATTTATTTAAAATAATATATAAACATCACTCACAAAAGCATACCAACTAGCACATACATTAATTACATCAAACTTAGTATAAAGATAATGAAAAATGGCAGTCAGTAGGTTGAAACCTCCTGAAGAGTGGACTGAACAGTTATAGAAAAGTTTCTCTACAAAACTCTGGAGTCAAGATGCTGAACATGACATAAATCAGCTAAGTGACAAATTTTATTTGTATTAATCATGTATATAAATAATTTTCAAACAAGTCTTATTGAATAATACCAACAAGGTCTATCCATTCAGTTTTGATTTAGTTGGAAACATAGACAATATATTCAGCTGCTTGAAAGGTTCTCTTAGATTAGGGTTAGGGAAGAATATGCAATATCAAGTAGCCATCTGATACTGAATTGTTTAGTAGAGCTGGCTGTGTGAGCATGAAGGCTATGATCATCTGCAATTACACATTAGGAAAGACTTGTGCAGATAGATGATAACAGGATTTCAAAGAAACTTTGCTATGCCAATTAAAAATAAAAAAATAAATTCAAAGATTACGTAATGAACAACCTGAATATTGATATTAACACCTGGGAAGTGTTAACTGAATATTGTTGAGTGGAGTCATTCTATAAACAGAAGTTGTGAGTTGTTTGAGGAGATTTACTAGAGTTTGAAAGGAGGCAAGTTAATGCTTGATAATGCAAAGAATTGAAAATATGGGAACATACCTTTCTTTCCTAGGTGGGGTATGTCTCATTCAAAATCCACAGTAACCTCCTTCCTCAATACCCAGAAGATATGAGCTCTGTTGTCTGCAACATTTATTCTAAGTAAGCATTTGAATGAAAGAGGCACATGGTAGTTCACAAAAAAGACATTCCACAAACTATTTTGATTGCAATGGAGTTTTATCTGCCATGTTTGCTACAGGATGTGTAAATCTGCTGCTGGTCTTCAGTTTATATCAGAAGAAAACAGAAGATGGCAATTTCGGGAAACAGTGGAAAGGTGGAACAACCAAATCCCTCAGTTTTGAAGAAGCCAAGTACATCAGCACCTGAGTAATTTCAAACATTAAGATTTCTGCTGTAAATGTTAGAAATATTCACACTGAGTGAAGAAAAGAGAAGCTATAAAAAAAATTAGTTTATTTGTATGATAATGAAGTGAGTAAAAACAGACCATAACATTACAACCAGTTCTCATCAGATCACTAAAGTTAAGCAATGTTGAACCTGGTCAATACCTAGATGGGTGACCACTTGGGAATACCAGATGCTGTAACCTTGTATATGTGGATGGTGTAATGAATAATGGCTCAGAATTGTTAATCGGAGAGTAGAGTTCCAATTGCAGTCCAGTTCCTTGTATTTACTTACGTGCAAATACTCTTGGAAAAGTTATGAATCCACCTCTTTTCCCCCACCTATGGGGTAAATTGAAGAGCTTGTATCAGTAAATCATTATCTCAAAAAAAAATTCCTACAATTTTCTGGTTTTAAATAACTTGCAAAAGGATAAGACATAAAAAACAAATCAATCAATCATAATGTTACAAGAATACTTTTTCTTTCAAAGTAAATTCCAAACATAAACAGATTCAAATGAAGCTAAACATCTGTACATATAGAAACAGTAGCATATTAAACTGATTAACAGTTTCCTAGGTTTCATTAGTTTTTGATCATCATTGTCAAATTTTAATAAATTATCTGTAAACTTGGACCTTCATGGCCAAAAAAAAAACAGACAGTCAAAAGGGCAGTTTTTTACTTGACACCACTATAATTTTAATGACCTTCAATGTTTATTGTCTTATAAACTGATGATTAGAATTATCATAAAGCCTAAACATATGATGAAAGTGAATTTATACATTTTTACTTTGTTCATAAACATTTATTAAATTATTGAAATATGCAAACCAACAATAAGGAAATCGTTATTATTTACCATTTTATAAAGTTAAAATAAATTGGCAGTTAGCTGATGTTTTGCCAACAATTCCAATAAACAATAGTGTAAATAAATCATCTACTAAATAGTATTTATTTTATTGTCACGTCTCAAAAGCAAACAAAAAATGTATAATTTTGCTTTCATCACGTTTAAATCTTATTACAATTCTAATCATTGCTGTTTAAAACAAACATTGCCGAGAAATTAAGTTACTTATAGCAGTGTTGATACACTGTTTTTTTTGTTTTTTTTACAACCTCAAAGGTCCAATTTTTCCAAATTACCTTTCTATTTCTTTAAGTCATACAATGATGTTTCCAACCATAAGACACTGAATATACCACAATGATGACAGATGTTTCTACTTCTCACTATTTGAGAAATCTGAAGTTCTTTTTCACAGTCACAAAACAATAAAAATAAAATCAGCAAGTAACAAAGCTATGTATGACTGGTAGGAGGATTGAGGCTCATTTGACTTAACAATGAGTTATGCATGGTTTACATGAAGTCACTGTTTGGAACCAAAGGTGATCTTTGATGAGTAGATGACCTCCACACAAAAACTTTGGGATTTCAAGAATTAAATAAGAGATTGTGTATTGAATTAGCTTCTTTTTTTCTTTTTTTTCTTTTCTAAGTAATAAAATGGTGCTCGGTGCTACATAATACATGGAGATGTTAAGAACCTACATGGTGGGATGGATAAATTGTCGTCTAAATTATGCAAAAATGAAAATAACACTGCCATCTCATTTTAACAGATATATTTATCAAATTTGCACAAAAATATCTTGAAATACTAAAGAATAAATTTATTCAATAAAATTGCCATTGGCTTCAACCATAACCTTCAGAATCTCCTACAACTCTTCTGGACAGTCTCCTTGTTTAAGTTGGTGAATGCTGCCTTAAATCTTGCCTTCAATTCATCTTTGGTTTTTACAAGGAATTTTATTGGTCTTTCGCTCAACTGCACCCCCACACATAATAATCAAGGAGGTTGCAGTCTGGGGAGTTAGGTGGCCAGATGTAAGGTGTGATGTGATTGCAGAAATTGTCTGACTGCCATGACTAGCTTCTCCTGCTTGGGCGGCATGGTGCAGGGTCCTGTGGCCAGACATAAGATCTTCCAGCAACCACCCTCTTGACCTAGGGCAGCACTACCTTCTCAAGGCATGTGATATAGGCCTCTGTATTGAGTCTGAGGTCCTGTGAGAAGATGAATGGAGGCATAACATTGCCATCACTAGTGATCACTCCAAACACCTTTGTGTTAGATTCATCCAACTCTTTCTGAATCCTCTGCACGCTCATCAGATTGACATCCAAAGACTCCGGTGCAAATGCCAACCAGTGCAGCATGCCATTTCCAGATTTCTGGTTGAGTGGTGCTCTTTTTCTCACAGATGGTGCCCAAATGACCCTACTATACTGTGTAGTCGACAAAAACAACATGCATGCATGAAATTAAAAATATGAAATGGCGACAATTTACCCATCGCACCCTGTATAATTGATATTGGTTGATCTTAGTTTGTACACTTACCCAGTCTTAAATTTGTTTGTAATGTACCCCTACTTTCAATTCTTGTTATTGTAAATGCTTGGTTTGAATGTATCAGTATTTAAATGAACATTATTTTAATAGATAATCAATCAAATGTCTTTTTAGCAGTTTTTAATTTTCTTAATATGTTATTTACAATGAGAAAGATTACAAATTTTAAAATCATTTGTCAAACTTTTCTGACGTAGTTTTCTTCTGGTTGCTACATTTTATAGTGTTCAGTCCGCACGTTCCAGTTCTCCTTGCACACCTGATACAATTCGTGATGAACCTTTAGGATCGCAATCATCTTACACATCCAATGTTGGCTCAAACAAGTTCTACCTTCTCTGCAAAGACTCTGAACGGAGAGAAACACTTGTGGATATTTTTACCACAGACAGGAAAAAGGTAAATATATCTTTCTTATTCAAACTGATCCTTTTGTTCACTTCCAGATGGTTGCTTTGAACTTTTAATTAGCTTAAATATGTATTTTTCTAATATTACAAAAAGAATATTGACAACTTTGTTAATTTATGGAATGTTAGTCTAATCTTAAGAAATTTAGTTTAGATACTTCAAATGATGTCATAAATTTGATTGTTTTAACATTGAAACAAAACTAATAAACCCTTTACTTGATTGCATTATGGCTAATATTTCAGCAGTGTGTCTAACTTTTATGCCCAGACTGTGTGCTTAAGGCACATTTTCTTATGATTTGGGTCATTTCCATGGCAAACAAATACAATGAAATTACTGAAAAATGCAAAATATATTGTAAATATTGGCAGTGCCTTCAGTACTGTCATCAGAACCACCATATTTGACAGGATAAGATACAAAGGCCTATTATAATCACTTACATTTTTGCACAGTCTATTCAGAAAAATTTTTTATATATAATGTAATAGTTAAAACAAGTTATCACTGCATTACAAAAGCACTTTAGCTATAGCAGAAAACATCACTGTATATAAAAAAAACAAGCTAGCAGTACATCTAAACCTAAAGTAAAAAAAACACAATAGTAAAAATATTCTACATGATTAGAGTAATAAAACAGAATGTCACTGGTACTTTGTTACAATAAGTACTTTTACAGTAGTAGTAGTAACTACAATGATAATAATGTCATTTGAGTAAATAATATAATGGAATAAGGCTTGATATAAGTGACTACCTGAGATAAAATTATAGCCTATGGCAGGGAGTGTTGGATAAAATTAGTTTATGTGAGGCCTCAATTTTGCATATGAGATGCAGACCCCTTTTCTTTTTTTTTCAGCTATTCCTTTTGGGATGGGGGGAGGGTGTCATGTAGAGTAATTCCATTTCTTTCCTTTAGATAAGTTTGATGAGTTTGAACTATCTGTTTGTCTTGTTATCAAAATTGTATTGTCTGTAGATGAAAAAGTCTCAAAGTAAATGATGAATTTTGTTACATAGAAACTGACATTTTGCTTTGGCTGATTTAATAGGATATACTCCTCTATAACCATTTGGTGTTATTAGATTCAATTGTAAGCAAACACATTTGGCTGGCCAAATTTGACCAGTCTATCTGGATAAGCAAAAAAATAGATTTTGAGCAATTTATTCTACAATCATAATTAATTCAATTTGGTCAGTGTTGACAATGAGCATATTAGCTTTTTTATTGTTGTAGTGTAATGGATATTGGCTTGAAATGAGAAGTCTAAGAGGTGTGTTTGAATTGCAGTCAAGTTTGTTAGATTCACTTACACACAAATACCCTTGGGAAAGGTATGAATCCATCTCTTCTTCCCTATGCATTGAATAGCAGGACAGACTGGGTAGACTGGTTAGCAACCTACTGCATGAAAAAATCTGTCTCATAAGTCAGGTATGAAAAGATACATGATCACTCAAGCATGTATTATGTATGGTACTTAACTGACTGACTGATTGTTACTACTGTTTGAGTATTTTGAACAAGTGCTTGCCTGCCACTCTTTCCTAAAAAGCAATATGTCTAGCAATGGGATAGTTCAAGGATATAGATTCATGCTTTTAACAAGGTCATTAGTACATAAGCAGTCTGAGATGAGATTTGAATTGGGTCTACCAATTTTACTTTTCATGCTGATAACTGTTAGCCTTCGCTGAACCTTGCAAGTTCCTAGGAATTCATCTAGACTTGATGATCCTCCCAAAAACTCAATTTCAAAGAGATTTCATTATCCTAAACTAGAAAAATCTTTATTTTCAAATATAGTATTTGAACTATTGTTGTTTTACACATCATTTCAATAAATTATGAAAGTCTTACATAATCCTTTTTGATTGAAGTCCTTAAAATAATAAAACAGTATTTCTCTTATTTAAAAGCTTTATTTATTTTGGATCAAACTTGTTCCCTCAAATTTAATATTTACTAAGTCTGGCACAATACATACAATTTTAAGGAGAGGAAAACTGGTGTAATACAATCATTTCAATGGAAACAGCTTGTTTGCCTTTTATATCACCATTATAAGATCTTGTAGTAATTGCCATTAAAAAAAAAAAGCCTATGGCCACATCACATTGACACACCAGTTCCTGTATGATACTCAAAATTAGGCAACATCAAACCTGATCAGTACCTAAATGAGTGACCACTTGGGAATACTAGGTACTTTAAGCTTGGATGTGCTGATGGTGTAATGGATAATGGCTCAGGATAGTAAATCGGAGAATCAAGTTCCAATTCCCATTGGGTTCATTATCTTCACATGCGCAAATACATCTGGGGAAGGTATGAATCTACCTCTTCTCCCCCCCCCCAAACTATGAGTTAATTAGTAAGATTTGTATCACTAAATCATTATCTCCTAAAAAAAGTTTTGCAGTCCTAAAGTATTTTCTGGCTTTAAATAACCTGCAAAGCATTGATAAGCTGTAGAAATGAATCAATGTTAAAAAAAATGATTTTAAAGCCCTAAGATGTAGTCATTATATGAAAGTCTTTTCAGCAATGCCACTATTGTATAAGTCTATGTATTGTTTTGATGACTTATAACTATCAAGTAATCAAAGTGCAAGAAATAATTTTGCTTGTAAGCAATATTAAATAACTACACTTGCCTTATTTATGCTTAGGAAAAAAAACAAACAGCTGAGTGATTATTCACTGGATTTTAGTATGACTTTTTTCTAGAGTTAAATTTTAATATTCAAACAGACACATAACTTCAATTATGCTGTATATTATAATTATTTATAGGTATCAAGGCATATCTTTTAAGGATTTTAACCTTATCAATAAACCTTTTTCTTTCAGATTCTTGAAAAATGGTTTTCTTGTTTAGAGAGAGAAGTTCCTGATACAAAATTAACAATAGTAAGTCAATATCTGCAAATTTTATATATTTTTTATTTTAGTCATTTTACTGCAAGCAAAGCAATAAAGCCACTAAGATGCAAGGGGTTACTGAGTATGAAAGTATGAAAAACATTATTAAGAAGAGAGAACAGCAAAAGATAATTATTCACATTGTATTAAAATATTTGAAGATCAAAGTTGAGTGGAAAGCAAGAGGCCAGAAAGGAGTTCCAGGAGTGCAAGTGAAGCTTCCTTTTGCCTTTTCTACAAATATTTTCATGAAAATTGTCCTAATGAACTTTCCTCCTTGGTATCTAGACTACATGAATGCTACTTAGATTGACAACTAGGTCTCACTGTCTTATTAACTTGATGCAACTATATGTTCTACTCTAATAGTTTCTTTTCTCACCTGTAGAACTCTCTTTTGATTTCTTGTTCCCCTGACACCTACAATTTTCAGAAATAGAATGCAATACCTATCACCATCTTTTGTCCTCCTGAACCCTGTTCTTTTATTGTCCTTTCTCTTCACTTCTCCTTACTAAAGTCTCCTCATTCTCTTTCACTCCCTGTAACCCCTTTCATCCTAGTGGCATTATTGTTTTGCTTGGGCTGAAATGATTAAAAAGAAAAAGACAATCAGTCACATGATTTTTCCTAATTTTATAAAAGGTACCAATATAGTTGTGCTTTCAAAGATAATAAACTGATTTATCTTTTCACAGATAATGGTTTATATCAAATTTGCAAAGTAACTGAGATTTAGAAACAATGATAGCCTTTCACCTTTCATCTTTAAATTGCATAATTCATCATTGATAAATTATTACTAAAATTTTTCCTTTATACACACAATGAACCTCTTCTGAAAAAAATTTAGTCCATTTCAGTCAAGTAGATAAACTATGTCAAATAAGGTAAGAATATTTTATTATTAAACTAATGCATTTTTTCTGTGTTCTATTCTTCAATTGTATATATACTTCAAGGAATTGAAGGTAGAATATGTTTACTTTTCAAAAGAATGATGCACAAAACTTATCTTTAAAAATATTTGTTTTTTGTTTTGGTTATATTTATGCAATACATACAAAAATAAGATTTAACTTTTTTTTTCTATTTTTTGAGACCAACAGTTGTAAATATTCACATACAGTCCTATAGAAAATATATTATATTTAAATTGATTACATATATTTATACATTCATATTAATATTCAGTCTTTAGGAGTGAACTGATATAAAATGCTATCTTCTGATATTGTAATATTTGCTGTTTGAATCCAGGAACATTTGGACTTGTTACTAACAGGACTACGAGAACAGATTCATTCTCCACATACCAAAGAACCTATTACAAAAGCAGTTGGTAAGCAAGCATTTTCTTTTTTAAATCTAGAATCTGTCAGCACACTTTTAGGGATTTTTTAAGCATTCAATTTATTTACAAGGATTCAGATTTCATTAATACATTATAAGAAATATCATTATCTAATTTAAATAAAAAGATTTAAAATTTCAGTTAAGGTCTAAAAAGAATAAGGTGGTTTTTCATAATTTAAAATTTCATCTTATTTTGTTAACAGCACTCTTCAAATAAAATTTTATCACATTTCACACTTACACTATCACTTAATACAAGTTTAAATAATGATGTGCAAAAAAAGAAAAGGTCTTTGTATGTAAAGAAAAAAATAATGAATAAATTTTGTTCTAATTTATTTTTATATTGGTTTCAAATACTTTCTCCATTTAAAATGGCAGTCTCAGATTGAAAAAAAAAATCCTTTAAATTTTTTAAAACAGAAAGTAGTAAATATTATTATAAATAAATTACACAGGTTCAAATGCAATAAAAATCACATTTCAAAAGTGCAAGAAATTTTTAAAGGTTTTAAATTTTTGATGAATACTGTCAAACTTTCTTTTTAAGTTGTAAAATTTTTACCAATACAGGAAGAATTTTTTTAATTAATGGCAAGTTAATTTTTTAATACATCTGGTTACATTAAAATTATTTAATGTCTTTATATTGCTTATACAAAAGCTGTCAAGTAATAAACCATTATTGTTTCTGATAATTTTTTTATTTAGTGGTATAAATTTTTGGTAAACTTGGAGCTTTGTGTCTGCAAAAAAAAAAACATTTTCAAAAGAATGGTTTTCTCCTTAACACTGCTATTATTTTAACTACCTTCACTCCTTGGCAATGTTTGTTTTAAAAAGCAATGATTAGAATTGTAATAAAACTTAAACATATGATGAAAGTGAATTTATACATATTTTTTTTTCTTGAGAATTTACAACAAAAATATTAAACACTATTTGTTTATTAGATTGTCTATTGACAGTTTTATAGTTATAACATTCTAAAAACTAATACGATGCAATATTTATCATTTACCAATTTATAAAGAAGTAAATATGAAAACAATTTTTTATTCATAAATTTATAAACTTTTATTAAATTATTAGAATATGTGAACCAACTATAAGGAAATCCTAATCAATTGGCAATTAGTCGATGTTTTGCCAATCATTCCAATAAACAATATAATAAATAAGTAGTATCTGTCTATATTTCTGAGATGAGGTATTGTAATTATTTATACTATTTACATTGTTCAGACTGTTGTCCTCATCTTTGTTGCTATATTCTCAATGTTTTGGCCAGTGTACACTCCGGCCTTCTTCAGGTGATTGGAATTTCAAACTGAACCCTTTATTTCATCCATGGGGGTAGATTGTTCTAGTTCCACGTGTCATGCCTCTTTCAGGTGTCTCAGTTATCTCAACTCTCCAAGTTTTTGTTCACCACTGCAGTAGCCAGGTATTGAACTCACAACTGAAGAAGGCTGAAACATCATGAATATGGCAACAAAGATGAGGACAACAGTCCAAACAATGTAAATAGTGTAGATAAATAAGTAGTGTTTATTGTTTTTGTTGTCAGTTCTCAAGAACAAAAAAATGTATAAATTTACTTTCATCAGGTGTTTGTGTGTTTCATTAGAATTCTAATTGTCACTTTTTAAAACAATAAACATTGCCAAGGAGTAAAAGTAGTTAAAATAATAGCAGTGTCAAGGGGAAAATTCTGGTTTTCTACATTAATGGCTGCCTTGATTTTCTCTTTCTCATTAAATAATCAGTTATTGTGGATAAGAATTTGTTTTAACTAAGTTTCTAATAAGGCAAAATAATTGTAATATTTTGTGTTACCTGAAATGTATCAGCAATAGAAAAATGTGATTGTTCTCATTGCTCCCCTTGGAATTGAATCTTTTCAGATGAACTGAATAAGCAGTTGGAATTTGATGCAACGGCTCTTGCAGAAACCCAGCGAGCTTTGTATGTTTTGCAAGAAGCTGTAAGTGATAGTCATGATTTTTATTTTTCTTGGAAAATTTTTGTACCATCTAGAATAATTTTGTTTTTGTCAGAGATTTTTCTTTGGGGTTCTGAGGATTCTTCAAAATTTATCTTAACTGATCTTTAGCATTAAGACATTACATGTCTGATTTACTCAAAGAACACCAAAGAATATGGCGTTTTATCACAAAAACTTATTTGCAAACATGTAATGAGAAGTTCTCAGCCAAACTAAGAAGCTATTCCTCCACCAAAAATGTTTTGATTGTTTGTGATGTGGATTGGGCTAAAAACTTTTCATCACCCCCTTGTATGTTATTTTTTAAGACCAACATACTCAGTGGGAATGGTAAATTTAGAGATTTAAACATTTTTATTAAGAAAACATTCTAAATGGAAATTTGAGTACATGTAGCATTCTATGTGAGACTTTTTAAAAAAAAAATGCCATCTCCCTTCAAGGTGATCATGGTCTTCCACAAACTCTTTTCTTTATTATATATGAATTGCCATGAGTTCTTTGGAAATATAGTTTAATTATTTTCCTGTTACCTCTTTATGACTTTACATTCACATATATAGTCCTTCTCCTAGACTAGCTGCTACCCAAGGCTAAAGAGCTCTTTCTACCGTTATTTAATCCAGGGAGAAGAAATGAATGTATGCCTTTCTCAGGAACATTAGTGTGAAATGAACATAATATATCAGAAGAGAACTTGAAGTTTGCTCACCAATTTTACTTTCTGCACCCCCAATAATCATTATTCTACCTGCACATCCTTAAATGGGAAACTGTTAACCTGAAATTTAGTAACTAAATGACTTATATCTTTGAAAAACCTCTCCACACTATTAATGAGTTATTTATATTTCCTTTGCATCTTTTTATTTTATACACATCTTCCTTCCTATGACCATTCTTTCCTCATTTTTCACAGGCCAATGCTTGTCTCAAGTCTCACAATATTCAACCCCACTGGATGTTTGCATTGGACAACCTTCTTCGATGCTCCATAGAATCTGCCATTCACATCCTTGCCCCTGGTACAAACACCTGCTTTGTTTCTACTTTGCAATGGTTGTTTTAAACGATCTAAAAATTTTACTTAATCTTATGGTAAAATAAAATGACAACTTTCTAGAAGTGACTAAAAAAAAAAAATCTATAGCTCTAATAAAAAATTTTTCTGTTAAGCTAGACTTTTATCTAAAATAAAATTAGCCTATAAGATATGAGATTCATTTTTTTTTTTTTTGTTTACTTTTCACACTTCTTCTATGTTAACTCAATTCAGATTTATTAAGTGTACATACACCCAATATTTAAATTTTTTAACCAGTTTAACAATATTTTAAAATGGGAGTAGATAGGTTCACCTATCATCCGGTCTACACTCTTCTCCAGTCTTTTGAACAGGTTTATCCCTTGTTTCCTGTTTAGAACTGGGCTTCTGATTCTTTCTAAAGTTTTTTTCATTCTCTTTCACTCCTTGTAACCCCTTACATCTTAATGGCATTATCGCCTTGCTTGGGGTGAATTGAATAAAAAAAAATTATAAATAATCAATCCCACTATTTTGTCAGTATTTACACTATAAAAGTTTGTCATATTAATAAAACTATACATTTTATCCTGTGTTTTTTTTAGAATTTGGAATCAATTTAGTATTGGCACTTAGTAATTACTTAATACAAATTGTATCCTGAATAATTTAGTAAAGGTTTATTACTGAAAGTCTATACTATACACAGTTTGTCTTATATCTAATATCTATTAACTTAGTACAATTGTCAGCTTGCAAGTTGGAAAGTTGGAAAATGTTTACTGCAAGCAAATAAACCTTGGAGAAAATTCTGATGCAATTTTGTTACAGGATGCTCTATAGATGTAAATTTGCCATAATTGACCTTGATTTCCATAATTATCCCCTTCTGTATTGTATCTAGGTTCATCAATAATTCCATAGCCTAATGAAGTGGAGGGTAGGCATTTATTTTACTACATAATCTCCTTCCTTGTTTGCACTTAATTCATTAGTAAATATTAATCTCATATATATTGAACATTATACAGAGAATATTTCAGATCAAAATTCAGCTGTGTGTCAGACTACAAACTTATTGATCTCCTTTTGATGAAACAAAACTGAGCATAATTTTTTTCCCCCCCATTCCAGAATTGGCTGCTAATATGGCAGGTACACAAGAAGAAACACCCCTGGTATCTGCCACCTCCCTCTCAAGTTCATACAAGTCTAATCAATTTCCGTTTCATGGAGCAACTGCTGCTTTGGAAACATTACAACAAGCCAAAGAAGAAAACCAAAAGTAATTTCTGTTTTTCTTTTCATTGTCTTTTGTAATACACATCTCAGCTTTAATGATTTGTTAATTGTCTTCCATGTTTTGTTTCAGACTTTTACAACAACTGGTTGATGTTATTCAGTCATACAATCAAATAATTACAGAATGGATAAAAGACAAAAAGTTACAGAGTGACCATTTCAAGTAAGTATTTTTATGTGATGGTTGGAGGATATAAATAACAGCTGTAAAGCTGGTATTATTTCATTCTCTAATCCAAAGATATGCACACACACACACACACACACACACGTTTAAAAGTTCTAAATCTGACTCATGTTCCCAAAATAGTATTTCAATCCTAAAATATCGGATTATTGAATTTTGTGAAGTTGTGTTTAGAACTTTTCTGCACCACCTTATATACACACAAAGTTTACAGTTTATCCATGCTGTCAAAAAATGCCATTTATATTTAAGTTATTTTGTAATTACAATGTATTATAAAATATATATATGTGAAAAGTGTATATAAATATAAATAAATATATATATGTATAATTATTTATATATTATATGCACAGTACTTATTAGAAAGCTCAATATCAGAGATAGAGCTAACATATTTGATTGGATAGATGTGAGTTTGTGACCTGGGTTTCACATTTTTAGCGATCGTCAGACGATTGCTAATGTGAAACCCAGGTCACAAACTCACATCTATCCAACCAAATATATATATATATATATATATATATATATATATATATATATATATAAAATGACAATAGGAAAACTGTAGTAGTTGCTGACGTATTTCGTCCAATGTGGACTTTCTCAAAGCAAAAAACATTTAAATTAACCGTTTAAATGTGTCAATGTCTGGACCTCAAGTAATTTTAAGTATAAAAAAATAGAAATTTTAAATTACATCTAACTCACTCATGTCTTCTTTCTCCCCCCTCACTTCGTTAATTTACATATGCTTAATATGGCCTATCAAAAATGTGTAAATTTTTTTTCAGTTTTTGTTTCAACCTTTGGAAGTAAAGTCTGATGATCCACAGTCCTTTAAAAGGGCTGTGGTGAAATAATTTATTACATGGAACCTTAAAGTGGTCTGTTTTTATTTAAATTATTTACTCTGGATTTATATTGAGCTCTCTGGATTTTATTCTCCATGGGTTTACCCATACGGATTACATAGTTTTTCTTAAAATAGAGAAATATATATATCACCACAAGGATAATTATAATGTTTGCCATAAACGTCCACTTCAAAGAAACCCTTAATTCTGTTGACTTTGGAAAAAATGTTACACAAAGAGCACATCACTCTGTATCAGATTTTATTACACAATTGCTATTAACCAACCAATGTTGATAAAATTTTCAGGATATATATTTATATGAACAATATATGGTGTGAGTTTCAGTTTATAATATCTAGCCTTTTTTTAAAATATTGATAATAACTTATTTCGGGGTGTCAATTCTGTTATGCAAATTGCCACATAAATTTTTATTTATAAATAAATCTAAAAGATATAAGCTAAAGAAACGTATTTGATTAACACAATCTACTATATACCTTAAATTATTCTTCATATTTGCTCCTTGACATTCTAGAACTTTCCTCAATCTTTCTCTCATTGATTTTAACTTTTTTACAGCAGCTGTTTTTATTGCTTCCCAGATAATTTCTTCTCTATTTTCATTTCTCTTAATGATGAACCAAAGATTTTCTATTGGATTAATATCTAGAGAAATTGAGGGTCATTCTATTTTTTGAAACCTTTTTTGAGGCAAGATGTGCAATAGTCAGCTTTGCAGAATTAGCTTAAAATTTCTTTGTTGTAACCTATACTTCTCAAAAACATTTTATCCAAAACCTGCATTTATCTTGAAACCATTCTTTTGTGATGTCAACAAACACTCGTTGCCACTTTTGTAATGTCAACAAATACTTGTCACTTTCATAATGCTCATTGTAGTAGAAACTTTGTAATCACAGGTAAAGCTATAGTAATGCCGTTGAACAATACTGGTGTCAGACACCTTCAAATAACACTTGCACTAATAGTACTTGCTTGATAATACTCGCTCAAATAGTAACTGCCTAATAGTAATCTGTATACTGATCTATATAGAGATATAGGATAGTGTAGAAAGAGTGATCAATGATAGAGGATAAAATAGAAATGGGGATCAATTAGATGCCATGCTAATTTCCATATATACATTTCCTTTACCATCATGTGATCTACTTATTTCAAATGGGATCGCCAGTGAGCAAACATAGGCGATATATGTTCAAGTTACTTGAAAATTACTTGGATCTTCTGTAAAGAAAACATGGATATGCTATTCTCCCAAGTGCCAGTATAAAATAATTTCCAAAATAGAATATAGATTAGATTAACTAATCTATCACAGGCAGGATTTATTAAACAAATATATCAACACTTCTGTTCTCTTTAGTGATTAAGGGCTTGTGTGATCACCAAAGTTAAGCAACATTGAGCTTGGTCAGTGATTAGGAATTAATGCAATCATTGATAACAATACAAATATTGTTTAATTTTATTTGTGGCCTTGTTAGAGCCAGAAATAAAGACACAAGAAAGGAATTGAGTTAAACAAATATATTAACAGAAACAGTAATACAAACAAGAATGTTTGTTACAGCAAGAATGTTCGGTTCAACTGTCAGAGCTGACTGTTGGAAACTTCCCTCTCTAAAAGGCAGTACCTGCTCCTATTTATAGCTGGGAGTGTCTATGTGTGTGTGGGTAAATTACCATAACAATATTATATTTATTATTTTTATGAGTACTGTTATATATATATATATATATATATATATAGTTGTTGTTTTTTTATATGTCCTACATGGGTAAAAATATATAGGGAAAAGTTCAAAATGCAACTGGAGTCTTTAAGAAAATGTATTTAGAGTAACTTTACCAGTTTCACAATGCTATGATTTTCAAAAGTTAAAGTGAGATGGAGAAACTGTGCCATGATGAGTTTTTTTTGAAAATCATAGAACTGTGAATCTACCCATAATTATTACCCTAAAATTATGGAAAAAATCACTTTACCATTTAAACATTAGTTTATATATTAATAACAAAGCACAGGCATACGTGTTTGTGTGGGCCTGTTTATATACATATAATATGTGTATGTAAACATATGAATATAAGCATATGCATACAAATTCAAACAATAAAAATTTAATTATAAACCTAACCTCCTACAATTAATACCCTAATAGTACTTAAGATACCACTAAACTAGATAAGAAAATGAAATAATGGCCAAATGAATATGTATATAAATATTTACTTTATTATTTAATCATTAAGATTAATTATTTATGTAAGATAATGAAATACAATTTTCCTAACTCAAGAAAACACTAGAATGCTCAAGAATTTACAATGACTCTATATGTCTAAAAAACAGAAGTCAGAATGGCAACAACTGAAAGAAAAGAGGAAAAAGAGAAGGAAAGTTAAGAAGTGAATGTAAAGTGAAAAAAAAAAAGAAAAGAAAAGGATAATCACAACATTCTACACATATGGACACATGCAAATGCACACATGCTCACATACACTATGGAAAAACAATATGCACCAAAGAAAAGTGCATATAAAAAAGAAAAATCAAGAAACTCTGGTATTGGAATACTGAAGGTAACAATCATCTAAGTGATAAACCTTTTATTTGTATTAATTATATATATATATATATATATATATATATATATAGAGAGAGAGAGAGAGAATTGTAATTGATTTTACTATTGAAAATCAGATTGTCAGTGATCAGGAGTTAATTGAAAGACAGTTATGTGTATTATACATAAATGCATTGTGAATATTTTTACATTGTTAATATCAGAAATGAATGCAAACATTACTGACAACATAAGATTATTATATTTCTAATGGTTGACTATTATTGATGTCTAATATTTTCATCAGTTTGTTTCACAAAGGAAAATCTCTTTCTCAAATGAACTTGACTACTGAAAACGGGGTTAAATTGTTAGTTATTGTACCGTGTCATTCAGTTCACATTGAATGTGAAGAATTCAAGAAGTGAGATTAAATAAACAAGAGACAAAAATTGCAAGTTATTATTTTTGTTTTTTCTCCTTCTAAAGATTTAATTCTTTTGCAGGGCCCTTTCTAATAGTGATACTGAGAGTTGTCCTTCTCTCGACTCTCCTGGTAAGTTACTTTGTTATTACTCTCTAAAAATTGTTTCAGTCTTCAAAGATTTTTGTGAAAATCTCATCTTACACTTGGGATTCAATTTCAGATTTTTATTGAATCAAATTTAGATTTATTCTTTATTAGGATATCTGTTTAGTGTTTTCAAAAATCTTTTTCTTTTTTCAAGATTCTTTGTAAAAACTTAATTTGTTAATTTATCCTATAAAATAGAATTGAAAATGTTTGTATCAACAATTGGATATATTCTAAAAACATTTTCCTGTTCATTTAGCTGAAATTGAATAGGAAAGTTTTTATTTTGTATGTAATAAACATATTCAGATGGAAAGAAATCAAATTTGAAAGCGAAAATTTTAATAATTTTGAAAGCATTTTAAAAAAAAAAGATGACCTTTACTGAACAAATATCAAGTTTTAAATTTAATGTAACAAAAATTCTATGAACATTTTATTATAAAATAAATTTAAGTTAAATTTATTTTTTTATTAAAAAATTATCTTTTTTCAACCCAAACCATACAAATATACATAGCCATGTTTTTTTTAGTTGAAGCACAACCAGGAGTAATCTTGCACAAAGCAAAGTGGGTCCTACCTGAGAGAGGATTTGTCATACTAATTTGAAGCAAAGCTTTTCACTATCAGATGTTCTTCCTGATGCCCAACTCATATACTCATGGTAGTCCAAGTACACCAAGTGTTTTTATTGATACACCCGCTCTAGGAAGGCTAGCATTCAAGGCTTGAGACCACATCATAACATATCTCATAATTTTTTCATATAGACAAAAACAATTTACAACAAATATGAAACTTCGTTTTGGTGCATTTAGTTGCACCTCGACTGGTGAAAACTTTGTTTGTAAGCAGGCTGTACATGGAACATCACTTCCTTTTTTTTTCAATTTGTTTAAAAAAAAAAATAGGTACATTTTACGAGGGGACATATAAGGATAAAGAAAAATAGGAGAGGCAAAAGGGTGACAGAGTGCAACAATAGTGTTTGTTGATATCAGTTTGTTGAGGGATTCAAGTGATGGCTTGACCCGAAAAATTTTTTTAAATTGACAATAACAGTTAAAGCCTTCTAAGAGTGAGGGGTGGGGAAGGAAAGGTGAGAATAGGGGAGTGTAAGACGATGAAAGAGAAAGTAGGGATAAGTTCAAAATGATCGTTATAGTAGCAATTGTAAATGTTTTAGGTAACTTTAAAACAAAGCCAAAGCTGAATTGCGTATATTTAAACTGGAATTATTGCTACTAGTTTTGTAATCAGTGAATGTATTTTGTAAATTATTAAATTTCCTTTGTTCCATTTAATCTTTATTTTAAAAAAAAAAACTATTATGTAAATTTTTGTAACTTTGTATAATATTTATGCATTACACCCTAATATTTATTTGGTAAAAATTTCATTGCTAATCATGCATTACTTTTTAAGTAATACACATATTTATGTCTTTGTTGTTTCCATTCCTTATATTATGGCCGCTACTGTATATACACACACACACACATATTATTTTCCTTCCTGTGTGATGACATACCAACCTACTCACCAGCAGAAAAAAGTTAGAGAAAAATTTATCTGGGTATAAGGATATAAAAAGAGTTTATTCAGTTAATCTTTTCATTTCAATAAATTTAAATTGACAAATAATTAGTCATTAAAAGAATTCTTAAAACATTTATGAGATAGGCCAGATTTCTCTTCAACTACCATATTGGCTATCCCAGTAGAATACAATCATTCTAAATATTAAAACTCCACACAACACACTTGTGTATCATGTGCCATGTTTTCTATAGTCTCTAACAAACACAAAATTGGCATTTTTATATTTTTGTTGTATGAGAAATTTACTTGCAATCAGACTTTTTGTAAAGTTTTTGTCTTTTTGAACTGAGCAAAGAATGTGCTTTGTTGCACTGCTGCTGCTAAATCTCATGCCATGAAGGTGTTGATCCCATAAGAACTATCTTGTCTTGGAAGACCATTGGAACATTCTCCAGTGCCAGATTAATTATCTGGAGGTCCTTGCAGACAACGTCCTTCCAATGGCTGTGTGGTCTACCACTAGTTTGCAGATGGCGGGTCAAACTGGTAGGTGACTCTGATAGGGTGGCCATCAAGTTATTGCAGAACATGACCAAGTTGGCGAACATGATGCCAAACAATGGTGTTGGGGAAGTTCTGCTTCTGGTCCTCTGGCAAAGCTTCTCATTGGACACGAGGTCAGACCAGTGCACCCCGTGATGGCCCTGAAGCTATGAGATTCAAAGCCATGAACAAAGGAGGGTGTGTCTGGCACTGTATACTGCAAATATCTAAAGAGATTTTCTAGAAGGTCAATATTAAGAATGTTTTGCATTACTGTATCTAAATTCAAAAAAAAAATACTTCTACAAGATTGCACTAGCAAGATGAAAATGTACAACTGAAGGTCACTCTCTAAAGATGACAATTGTCAACATATTCTTACTATTTTAGGTATGGTTCAGTGATAAAGCCGTGTGTTGATGTTCACTCAAGTCTTCTAGTTAGTGCTTTTTTATGAAAAAAGGAAAACATTGAAGGATTTCTATCCAACCCTACTACACAGTTTTTTTTTTTTTTAAGTCATTTATCTTTTTGTTAAATTTTAGAACTTGTGGATGAGCAACTGGTCAATTGGCTGAAAGAATGCCCTGTGGATGAAGAAACAATTAAACTGGTAAGAAATCTTTAAAATATGGCTGCCATTACTTTTTATTTTCTGTGATGAATTTGGATTTTTAAAAATTCTGCTACAAGTAGATGCGTTGTAATTGAACAATTTATTAAACAATGTTAATTGGATTTTTCTCTCATTTTCTGCTTTTTTTTTTTTTTTTTTAAATGTCTTTTTTTTTTTTAATACAGATTATCTATGAGCAATACACATTTAGCGATTTTGTGGAGTTTGTAACACTGGAAGAATTACAGTCTTTACACATAAAGTAAGTAATTCCTAAATGTAACATCACTAATGATCCAGTAAGCTAAATGGATAAATGAAGACATTTTCACACTTTCTGAGCAAATTACTTATTGTTATAACAAGGAGATAATCATTGAATGACATTAAGTAATATTATGTCATTCAATAATTTTCAGCCCATTGCAGTACTTTCCATTTGATAGAACCCTTGAAAGGTTGAATAGTGCCAGGGATGATGGGACTTATGCCTTTACAAAGAACAGGTGCAGAAAATTAACACTTGCAGTAGACAGCTAGTATTGAAACTTATTAGATCAGAAGAATGTAGAATTTTGCAACACTTCCTTCTAAAAAGAATACCCCTCCCCCTTGTATACAACACACTTTATTCAAGAATCTTATTATAATTTTGCTGTTCCTTACTTAGCACATACCTTACACCCTATAATGGCTTGCCTGTCCTCTGTCCACAAATTCTTGGTATAGTCAGCAGTGGACAGAGTAAATCTCTAAGCCTCTTTTTTTTTTCTGTCATGCCATATTCTGGAGTGCATCAAAGCTGTATATATCTGTCTTTAGAAAGAAGGGGAAGATAGAAGAAGTGATAACACCTTCTGTGAAATCGTATAATAATATGAGATATACCAGCCTAATTAGTTTTAGTAATAAAGATTGGCAAAAACCGTGTACAACATAAAAAACACTTTTATTTCAATACCACCTATGCTGGATCTCAATCAAAGCATGTTCACTTGATGGTATCTCTACAATAGTTCTTAAGAAATGTGCTCCTGAACTAGGCTCCTGTTCTCTCTAAACTCTACAATAAATACTGTTTATTTTCCTGCTTGTTAGAAATCCTCTTCTGTGGTTCCAGCCTTTAAGAACTCAGGTGAACCATCTGATTCTTCTACTGGCCTTCTACCTCTTTTTGGCAAAGAACAAGAGGCTCCAATCAACTCTGAATTGGTCAAGCATCTCATTTTGCAGGGTTTTCCTTTAAATAAGCAATATGGCTTTCACTTTTCTAAGTCAACTGTTGATGTATTAACAATTATTGCTGAAGGTGGCTATCAAGCTTTAGATAAAAATGGTGAAGCTTGGTCTGTTGCTTTGGTTATCTCAAAGGTATTTAACAGGGTTTGACATATTGGTCTTCTTCAAGTTGATTGGTTATGGTATTTTGGGACAAATTTTTTAACTAATTCAGTCTTATCAAATCGCAAAATGAAAGTCATCTTGAATGACCACTCTTCTAGATATTTTTGTATTAATACAGGTGTCGCCCAGGGTACTATCCTTGGACCTACATTATAGTTAATTTTCATCAATGACCTTCCGAATGTTATCATTTCTCAACTTGGTATCTATGCTGATGACACAACCATAAGTCTGAGTGATACATTAAGGTCAAATTGGAAGCTGATCTAAAAAATGACCTACAATCCATTGTTAATTGGGGCAAGAAATTGCTTGTTAATTTTTATGCCTCCAAAATGAAACTGGTCTCTTTTGTCTGAGAGAACCTTTTTTGCCTTCTTTCAGTATGACTGATGCTAACCTCCAGGAGAGTGACATTGTGCCTTCTTGGACTAATGTTCTCTGCTGACATGAAGTGGAAAGATTATATTGAATCAATTGCTAGTTCTGCTGCTAGCAAAGTTGGTTCATTGTCATGCTAGAGAATTTTTCTTGCCAGAATCTATCTTATATATTTATAAGTCTATTATTCATCCTTGCTTTGAATATTGCAGCCACACCTAGTCTGGTGCTCCTGTTATATATTTAGAGATTCTTGATAAAATCTAAAGAATCTGCAATGTTGTTGACCTGGAAACTAATTACTTTCCCACCACCATAATGTAGCTTCCCTGTGCCTTTTCTATAAGTGCTTAAGCACAGTACTGTATTGGTAGCAAAATCTCTGTATTTTACAGTTAGATGTCACTGTAAGTTCTATGCTAAAAGCTTCTTCTATCAAACTTCCCTTCTGGTTTCTTGCTTCCTAGTCAGTTTTGACATTGAATTTAAATTTTTGAAGAGCAATCATTATCTTCTGAATTTCTGTTTTTTTCTTTCTCCTTAATAGTATTTTTTTTTCTCATATTCTCTAACACTCAGTAAGCCCTTGCATTTTAGTGGCTTTATTGCATTGCTTGGGGTGAAATGATTAAAAAGAAAAAGATGTTTGTGTGTGTGTATATATATATATACACACACACACACATTAGTTTAGTTTTCCCTCGCTCTTTTTTTCATTTTTAGGAAACAACAAAACTAAACTGATGTTAAAATTTAAAAAGAGTAGTTAAAGTTCACTAAGGAAAGGCAGTTACATAATTAAATGTCCCTACTTGAATTGTACATGGTCTTAGTTTTTAACACTTCTAACATCTCCACCTAAACTCCAAAATTTTAGTAATTTTGTTTTTTAATTTAATCTCTTCCCCCCCCCCCAAAGGAGTAGATAGGTTCACACTCCTTCCTTGTCTTTTGAAAAGGAGTAGAGGTTGATCCCTTGTTTTCTGTTTAGGATTGGGTTTCTGGTTCTTTCTCCTAAAGTCTTCTCATTCTCTTCCATTTCCAGTAATCACTTGCATTTTAGTGGCATTATCACCTTACTTGGGATGAAATAATTTAAAAAAATGCTTTGTACAGTCAACAAGCCTATTCTCCTCCTCCATTCTTCATAAATAAATGCTTCTTTTTATTAATCTGTAAAGTGCAATATATTTGTCTCACCATGCACTAGGTTGTACAAATCACAAGAAACAAAATGCAAGCATTAGATATTTTTTAAATCACTACAATGCATAGATATAACATTTTAGAACACCTATTCTAACTGGTTCTTCAAAACTCTCTTCACATTCTTGCCAGCTTTTCAAAACTATTTCTCTTTCATTCATATTCTCACTGACTTTTCAGTAGTGATCACACCAAAAACCAAGCTAGCTAGTAACAGGTAAGACATAAAAATCAGATTAAAATTAGTCTACATTCAGGGTCACACTGTCTTCTGTTAAAACACTTCCCAGATATTTAATTTGTTGTACTTGTTTTATTTTGGTATCTCCATTTTGTAATTTGCATATTGGGCTGTTCTTTTTCTTAACAACCATCTATTCTGTCTTCTTGCAATTGATGTTTAGTCCTTTCTTCTTGCTTTCCTTTACTACTTTCTGTAGTTTCTTTGCTTGCTATCAACACTATCTGCATTATTGTTGTCTAATATTCAGTACTCCCCCCCCCAAATCTTATATCTGCTTGAATATATATTTTTCTGATTCTTATCTTCATTTGCACAATTCCAGGCAATTTATTGCTACAGAATGAAACCATGTCTACTTCACATCTGTCAGTGAACAGAAACCTATCGGGGAAAACTGAAATTCCTGAGGACTCATCTCCCAGGTTTCAGAACACTCACAGGATAAAAATTAAGAGTATGCCAATCTAACTCTGCAGTTTCTGGGAATGTGGGGCTCTATATTAAAAAGAACAAATGCAATGCAAAGAAATAGGCTTAACGTCTTCTCTGGCACCATTTGATCATCAGATGTGACCAGTAGATAATTTTAAATCTTATTTGCAATAAATTATGTAGCATTTATTTTGATTAACTGTGTTACTTAGTGTTTTTACATAGTAGATCATTCTAAGTTGGCAGCTATAAAAAAACATTGTTGATTATTTATGGCTTATTTGTTTAAATAATGCATCATTTGGCAATAATTGTAAAATGAGACACTAAAATAAGTAAACAATCGTTTTAAGTTCTCTGAATATTGCTACCATTGTTATTTACCTCATGAAACTTGTTGCAAGATATGTTTACTGTGGTTTGCATAAAAATGCTGTTGTGTGTCATTCATTAAAAATTAAATTATGAACATTTTTTTTTTTATACCACCTGAATTTCTTTTCCAGCATTAATGTCATTCATTTCTTCATTTTTAGAAGAGGAGTTGTATATCGGATATGGCGAGCCCTGAAGACTTTGAGAAGCAAACCCCCACAAACTTCACAGAGTAAAAGCCAAACAAAGAACTCTAGTAAAAGTGAACATTTTGATGACAGTTCTGAACATGAAGCTCATGTTAGTTTATGATTCTACCTCTTGTTTTCCCTCTGTAAAACAGACAAAAAAAAATTTTTTTAAACCCCAAATTGTCCTGACCAGTTTCTAAAAACTCTGTTCAGCAGTAAAATGTAACGGCAATATATTAATGATAATTATAAAGAAAAAAAAAAGAAGATATTATTATTAATATAATAAAGTTGGTATGTTTGCTGCTGTCTGCTTATGTTGCTCTTCAACTGACAATTGTTCAGTTGGTGTGGCTGCATTGTGAGAATTAAAAAAAAAAAAAAATCCTTCTTCAGATATCCTTCACTCAAGTCCCATAAAACACAGCCACTGACCACTTCCTACACCATTCTCTGCTCCCTTACATTAAAAAAAAAAAAAAAAAAATCAATCTTCTCTTAGTGATGACCATAATGTCAGCACTTGTGTTGGCCAGTGTCTCTGATAAACTGCTGTGATAAATAATTCTGCTCTACCCGTTGTCAACACGCTTATTTTTTTTTTTTTTTTTAAAGAAGCATTTAAAATACCTTGTGAAAAATAAACACTTCAAAATTGTATTCACAATAAGAAAACATTTGTTCTGCCTTGATTTATTTTTTTCATTGTAGTCAGATGCATCCATGTGTAAAAAAAAAAATAAAATTCAGTTACCATGACAAAAACGTGGTTAATAAGTGGAAGCTGATATTAGTGATTTTGTGCATTTATCGATATACAAAGTTAAGCCTGAAAATAATACCTCCTATTTTTTGTTGAAATTTTGAGAGATTAAATCTTCCTGCCAATATTTACCCATGCAGAAAAAAAAATGTACTCATTGTTTAGCCGGCTTGTCTCATACATGGTTTGTATAAGCCCTGGAAAATTGACATGACCATTTCCAGAGTTTGAAAAATCCTGGGATTTTCTAATTTGAGCTGTCCACACATCCTTTTTCTCAATTCATGAAAGTCAAAATGCCAAATCCCAGAAATCTGGCTTTTTTTTTTACAAGCTAAAATTGTCCTTTAAGTTTTTTTTTTTTTTTTGGTTGTCAGTAATATTTGACAATTATTGCAAACAGTGTTGTGTTTTCTTGATTAGAACAAGTACATGACCTCATAGTTACTTCTGTATTTTCTCATCTAGGTGACGAGAAAGAATATTAAGCTGTCTTCTAGCTGCTACCCTCACTCAACAAGAAAAGAAAAGTAAAGATAATTCTCACTCTCTGAATTTGTAGTTGAAAGGAAAATAAATTATTTTACAGCAATAAAATACATTTTAGTAGAATCTCGAAAAATTTATCAGTATTTTTTTTTTTTTTTTAATTTGAGCAATTGAAGAAATTTTATTCACATGTCAGTTTCAAAAGTAAAAAGTACTTTTGATCTCTAAATAGTGGTGGGTGAGTTCATGCTAAAAAATAGATACACCTTCACATGTGAAGGTGTATCTATGTGTAAAGTATGTTTGTCTAAATTATTGCCAAAAGTAAAAAGTTTGAGAATCAAATTTAACTCAAAATATAGACGGGAAGGATGATGAAACAGAAAATGTGTCTTTGTTTTTTGAAAACTAAGAAGAATGTTATTTTTAAAGTTTACAGACTAATATATCTTTGTTTTGTGAAAAAAAAATGATGAAAATATATTAAAACTAGGTAGATCCACTAAATCACTTAAAAAGAAAAAAAAAAAAAAAAAAAAATGTCCCAAACCTAATAAAAACAAATTTTTATCATCAAAATGTTTGTTTTTATTAAGAGGAAAGATTATTAAGACCAAAATATTTTTTTAATTATTCTTTAAAATTTTTACTCCTTTCTAACACATTCGAAACTTGTGTGTTTTGAAAGACATTGAACCATTTCTGGTAAAATATTAGAGCGATAAACTATTAATCATTTTCTTGACAGATGATCTTTTTAACATGATCATGAAACTTAAGATTTGTAAAATAAGAGCACACTAAAAAGATAATTACATTTTACAGACTGCATGAATTTGTAAGAATTTCTTCAAACCCAAACATGCACAAAGATCAAGTGAAGATTTCTGGCAGATAGGGCTATGCAAAACTTATACAAAGAAGGAAATGCATCAACAAAAGATCTGTTTGTCTTTGTTGCAATTCATCACCATTATTGAGAAACTTCTGGCAAAGTCTCTACTTATATACCTTCTTGTAAGGTCACTAGCATGGCTGAACCTTAAGTCTATGAAAAACAGTCTAAAAAGATGTCTTTCCCACATGATGGACAGAAAACAAGTCTGTACTGACTTATGTCATCACAATCAAAGAGTTTGAGGAAGAGGCTGCTGGAAATATTGCTTTCAAGAATTTCAGCAAGCATGAAGACTGTTCTACACTTTGTTGCTAGAAAGTGTTCAGACAGTCAAAATCTGTGGAAAGTTGTTCGCAGATTGCTGATACACTCATGGACAGGCCTCAGTAAAGAGAGATTTCTCAGTCAATAAGGAAATTTCCATTGACAATATGAAACAGCAGACTGGTTGCAAAGCACATTATCATAGACTATTTGGCTACAGCTGAAGATGCTAGGAATGTTCCCCATGACTAAAGCTCTTCTCTGCAGTGCTTCCAATGCCAGAACAGCATACAACCAATACCATGAGACTGAGAAGAAAAAAAAAGGCAGGAAGAAGCAGCTGGACCAAAGGAAAAAAAAAAAAAAAACAGAAATCCATGCTTATGGAAATTGAAGAACTGAAGACCAAAAAACACAAGCTTAAAAGTTGCACACAAAATTTGCTTGTCAGTTATGTGGAGAAAGCTGAGCAGACACAGAACTTCACACTTATCGCAAAGTCCAATACCATGTGAAGATCTGCAAAGGACAAGTTCATAGAGATGTCAAAATTAGAAGAGGAGCTGAATGCTAAACTAGATGAACTGAGAAAATCTTATTGTGTTCTGTGCCATGTGCAACAAAAACTATGAGTAGCAGGGGTAATAGAAATTGTGAAAATTTCTATTTTTAGTTCTGTTCATTAAAACCATTATATTTAACTTCACAGGAAATGTGCAGCAGTCAAGAATTTTTGTGACATTCACAAACCATGAGTAATCTAGATAGCTGAAATGTGTAGCAGTAATAATTAAAATGTGTAATTCAAAATTTTTAAGTATAGTAGAACTCCAAACTGTGTAGAATGCTACACAAAATTTGTCTGCATTCAGTTGTGTTTTAGCCTTCAACACTTGGATCAGCTGAAAGCAGTGAAGAAATCAATGTGACATGAATTAGCTGTAGGTTGTCTTTGAAAATCTCATCTGTCAAACTATTAAAAGATAAATCACAAAGTTTGTGTTTTTGAAATTAATGACCATTCACTTTGCGTATGCATCAATTTCAGTCCTTGAAAATTCTTAACAGTCTTGGAATTTTTTTATACAGATCTGTGGTTACCCTGCTCATAGATCAATTACAAAAGAGTTGGATCCTTGATGCGCTGCCTGGTGCCACATCCAAATTATGTTTAGTAAATCAGGAAAAACTGCACCCAAACAGTGGGTGTAACCACAGTGAGATTTCAAGCTTACAGTATGCGTGTGATAAACCACGTCCAGATGGCCTACATAGCTGCTAACTCCTTGAAATGAAGACTAACTTAATGGTACTCCCTGAAAAAAAATGAGTTTTGAAGCTGGAAATTATGTTCTTTGTATCTGTTGGTTTTGTGGAAATAGACATTTCTTTCAAGCATTAATCATAATATCCCACAAAATATCAAATTTTATAGTTAAATTTTTTTTTTTTTTATATACAGTAATGTGAGCAATTAGATTTTTAATTTTTTTTTTAACTGTTAAAATATACTGATCTCAAGTAAATTGATCCTCATAAAATATTCTAAGAATGTTCTTGTAATCATCCCAATGTTAACTTATCAATTAGAATTTCTAATGAAGTAATTTTGTGTTCACACTATTTGCACAAAAAAAAAGGAAATATTTTCAATTGAGAAACCTGTAATTAGATCACGAAAAATGAAAATTTGCATGTTTTTCTTGTTCACCTAAAAGGGGTAGAAAACTCATTTTTTTTTTTCATATAAACATGCAATTTCCCACTCAATTTACAAGATAAATGTTTTAAATGAACAATACCAGACAGTAGCTTAATAAACTATTGAACTGTAAATGAAAAAGAAAACATTTATAATATTCTATACACAAAGATAAAATGAAATTTCAGCCAAGATACAGAACTAAAGTCTTTATTCAATCAACCATCAAACCTTTGAAATTTTACAAAATATGTGGTGGGGGGGTGACAATTGAATTATTGAGACAGTTACCATTCTGAATACCAACTTTAAATATCTACTATCCACAGCATGAAAGGCTATAAAAAAAAAAAAATCACAATATAAAAAAATTTCAGCCACTTGTTGGTATGGACAGTAAAGTGAGTGTTGTGCATGTTTGTCTATGTACAGGACCTTCTCAAAACGATTGCCTTCTCCAGCCAGGTGGAGGATGAGCAAGAGAGGGTTAACAAATAAAATTAAAAAAAAAAAATCAGTAATGTGTGTTCAGGAATTGTCTAAGATTAACTTATCTTCAAGTCTCCCCCCTTTTACCATTCTCTAATATGGTTGGAGAGGGAGGGCTTGTTCAAACAAAACAAACACACAACTTAAAAACCAAAGCAAACCAGTTTTGGTTTTAAGTAATTGCATTGATGCTTAAAATTCTGCTGCTAGGAAGTGAATAAAAAAAATTTATATACTAACAAAGCTAATAGTCTTAATGTCATAGACAACAAAAATAGGTTTAAGTTTTAGAAGGAAAACTTATGCCACTCAATATTAACTCATTTAGGATATAAATCTATGACTCAACACAAAACGACAAGTTTTCATCAGTCACAAATATAATTGAATGTGAAGTGAGGACAATTACTGTTTATTAAAGTTACAAGTGTATTTAGAAAACAGCAAATGAGTTGATCTTGCTGTAAGTGTTTGCACTTTGTTGTTTTTTTGTTTTTTTTTTTTCCTTTCTTTTGTCGATTTCTATAAGTTGAATAACATTTAATCATTAACAGGAATATTTATCACTAATCTTTACTTGTTCAAGTGTAGGGTACTCATCTAACCCCACCACCACTACATACATACATACATACATACATATATATATATATATATAAAAAAAATAATTCTAGTTGATTACAAATTTCACTTCATTTTATTTTTTATGTGTGGGCAATACTAAGAATTAAGACTAGAAAACACAATTGGTAAAATTTTGAAAATGGACAAACACATGCATGATTATTTTCCAATTTTTATTCATTCAAGTGTGAATCAATATATACATGCACTTTTGTCTAGATTCCTTTGAAAATTTTTACTGTAGCCATCTTTGAATACTCATGTCATTAGGGAAAACAATTATTTCACTGGTGTTTTTATATACACATAATAGCAGCCAAACCAGCTTATCTTTAATCAAGTAGTAAAAATAATTCTATTTTGAACTTTTCTTTAATCAATAATTTAAAAATAATTAAAAAAAAAAAGTGTCAAACTTTACCCAGTTAGTTCTTAAATTGAAAGACATTTTAACAATGAATGCAGTGTGCACTTCAACTATCTTAAATGAACCATGTTTATTGGGAGAGAGAGAGACACACACACACACAGCAATATCACCCACCCATATAAAAACAGCTTTAAAGCAGTTTTAAATGTTTTATCACTTAAGAATTACATTATTTACATTATTCGGACTATTGTCTTCATCTTTGTCGCCATATTTATTACATTTTCGGCCGTTGTATGCTCTGGCCTTCTTCATTGAACTCACACTGAACCATTGTGTCCTGTCACCGGATCTAATCTTGGTTTGAACTTTTTGTTCCACTGTGCCATGTGTCTTCAAGGACACATGGCACAGTGGATAAAAGCATGAGTGTGAGTTCAATACCCAGTTAAGGCAGTGGAGAACTTTCAGAGGGAAATTAACAGGAGATAACTGACATCCATTAAATATGGCACATGGAACTAGAACAGTCTACCCCAGTGAGCAAAATAAAGGGTTCAGTTTGACATTCCAACCACCTGAAGAAGGCCAGAGCGTACAACAGCCAAAATGTTGTAATAAATATGGCGACAAAGATGAGGACAATAGTCCGAATAATGTAAATAATACCTCATCTCAGAAATATAGACATACTTAAAAATTAATCCAGTTAATATTAGCAGCATATGGAGTATCAAAGATTTGATGTTTTCAACAAGAGTGACAAATGCATAATAACTTGACATATGCACAGTAAGATTTGTAGAAATTCAGCTATTAACAAAAAAAAAAAATACCGGTATAAAATGAATGCATTGAATTGGCTTAGTATGGACATGAAAATTAGCTAAAAATTCCACTCATCATAGAAAACAGATCACATTGAATTTTAATAAATTCAACTCGTTTTTCTTCAACTTATAAAATTGAAAATTTTTTTTACAATAAAAAAAAAAAAAATCATCCAATTGTAAAACTGTTAAAGTTCAATATGAGTTAACATGTTTTTTTTTTAAATTTTCAAGCTTAAATGGAAAAATTTGTACATCAATATAAATATTTAAAAGCAGAAAGGGATTAGTGTATTGGGAATAGGAAAAAAAAAATGTATTTTCAAAATAAAATTGTAATGTGCAACATCTTAGATGAAATGATTAGATACAAGAAAGATGTTCCTAGATGAAAAGAAGAAAGATGTTCTAATGAACATCTGCTCTGCCTTTAAATGCTCTTAACAGCCCCACTTGTGGAAAGATATTTGACAGATAATTTTTTTAAGTGTGACTCAGGCAGTGGCTAGAGCAATAAAAAACAAATCTAGCAACAAGTGCATTTTATTGCAAGCATTCCAATCTTGTTTGCATCAACATCTGTTATTCTGGTTAGCCTAAGATAGTTGCAGTTGTTAAAAATAACTTTAGTGTACTCTGATTTAAAGCTATAATTTCTTTTAATGTTAAATGCAACATTTATATACAGGAGAAACATTTTGGGAGGATTGAGTACATTGTAATTGAGCATAAGACAATAAAAATATCCAATTGAAGCAATAGTGTCTTATTTAGAACTGTTCAAATAATTTCTATTTTGACTGCGACTATAAAATAAGGCTTGAAGATATGGCTTCTAAATATGAATTAAAAAAATTGTGCAGTAGCCGTTATTTGAAAAAATAATTTAAAAATTTATAAAAAATATTTCTAATTTTCTATAAAATTTATTTTGATGGTTGAGAAAAAATGTGACAACTAGCATACATACATCAGGGGTTTGATAGCATTTAAAAATAAATAAAATAATACTGCAAACAATGGTGATGTCATGCAAAATTTTTATATATCTTACTAAAAAGCAAATAGTTCTAGTCAAAGTAGCACGATAATCTTCTGCCAAAATATTGTGCAATTTAATATAACAGTGAACAGTTTAGGTTTTAATTCAACACAATGTTTGGGAACATGGAGGAAAGAATCTTTCCTGCTTATTTTTAGAGTTAGTCATCTACTTGTTTTCATTACCAAAGACAGATATAAGAAAAATTTATTTCTATACTTAAAATTTAATCATTACTTTTTTTTTTCTTTTACCTTTAATAACTGCACATGATTACTACAATTTTTATCATATTCAAAAACTTGGATAAACTCACTATAAAATAATCACCTCATATTGATATACTTGTAAAATCAATGTCACTTTTTCTATTATACCTGCTGTCTTTATGTAAATACAAAAATATATTACCATGAAATAGTAAAGAAGCATTGGTTTTGTTTTAACTAAGTCTTAAAAATGGACAAAATTCTTTAGTCATTTTACATTCATCCAACTCCCTTTCATGCAGGATCATCTTTCTACTTTGATTTAAAGAATAAAATACAAGTCAAGAAGCAATTGTTTAATCTTCCTGTCATCTCATTATTGATTTCACTTCGTATAATCATTTGACATTAATATATATATATAAAAAAAAATTACAAACTTTGAATTAAAAATATGTCCATAAGTTTTCATAAAAAAAATAAAAAAAAAAAAAAAAAAAAAACTTGTTTTTTTTTGTTTTTTTTTAAAATAAATAATTCTTTTGTTAGCTATAAATAAATTTGCAAACCAAATTATTTCATTTTACTCCACGAGAAGAAGACAGGGATGGGGGAGTATTTACAAAGGGGAATATCAGAGATCTGGTGAAACAATTTACTACAGATTATCAATATCTTTTAACTTATGTGACTTAAGTTTTATCTTTAATCACATCACTAAACTTTTATAAGAAAATTGTTCTGATTGTTAAATCATAAGGCTTTTTGAAGAAAAAGATTTCAACAATATTTAGGCACCAATTTGCATCAACAATAATGTCAGCAAGTTGTTCAAGAATTATCAATTCTATTACAAGAATCAAGAGTATTTGTCACAGACAATTTAATTACCTTTAAATTAGATTATTCTTTTAAGCAAGAAATTAAATTATTCAGAACAAATACTATGAATATATATTAAGTACAAAAAAAAAAAAACCCAGACAAATATCTTGATTAAATCTAAAAAATGAATCAATAAAGATGAGATAAAAAAAAGGCTGGGAGTGACATCAACATTTGGATCTGCAGGGCATAATTCTGATGACCTTCAAAGGGGGCCCATCAATAGAGCCAGCATGAGATAACTTGGCAGTGGTTGTTTGAAACCAAGAAAAAAAATATATCCATTGGATAGAATATTAATATCAATCTAGACAGTTATTGTCTGCCTAGGAAACAAGATATTTACCTGAAAAAATCCCAAGTATGAAAAAAATTTGTGTTGCTGCATAAAAAAGGTGATAAAGAAATGGATTAACAGGTAAAAATTTGTGGAATGTCTTATAATGGCTTGGAATAATTAAGAGTTATTTCTAATTTATTTGTTAGACACTTCACCCAGGTTCATATCTTCATCAGAAACCTAAAAAAGAAAAAAGAAGATGTGATAAACAACTTTCTTTTTTTTTTCTTCATTTCTTTTTCTCAATTTCTCACACAAGGAGTGTCATTATAACCTGTAACTATCCACAGAAACTCAAAAAAAAAAAAATCAGTATCCTTTTTTAATTCTCTATTCTTATCTCAGATGACAATTTACTGATCAAAAAGAAAAATCTAAGTGTATGGTTTTAATTCAAAAATTATTAAAATTCTGCTTTTCTTCCATTAATTAATAAGTTACCACGTCTGCCAAATAATGGATCATTCTTTTGATTTCAAAGAAAGATTGAAGAAAAAGATATATAAGTAGGTACCTCCACTTGTCACTGAAAAAAAACAGAATAGAATGATGAAAAAAAAGCCCCAAACTTAATAAAAAATTTTATCGTCAAAATGTTTTATTATTAGGAGGAAAGACCAAAGGATTTTATTAATTTATTAAATTTTTTAATCCTTTCTATCATGTTCAAAATTTAGGTTAAAAACCTTGTTTTTTTTTTCCAATCAGTGGTTGATGTAATATTCTCATTAGTGTTTTTGCGCTTTTTTCAGGTGAAAAAAAACACACTGATTTGGAAATTCTTGCAAAAATCAAATAATTGTTGGATTTTACTGAAACTTTCAGGACATATTTACAAATGAATGAAATTAATTAATTTTTTTTTCATGTTACTCCAGTCTCACCACTTAATTTCATGAAATTTTGAGAAATTAAATTTTAATCTCAAAATTTGTTTTATTAGTTAAAAGCAGAACTCCTTGGAGAAGATAAATCATCAATTTTTTTAATTTTTTTTTCAAATTATTGCACATTTCCCAAAAATCTGTTCTGAATTGCAAAATAAAAATTGCAATAAAACTATGACATTATTTAATTAGAAAAGCTTTTAATTACTTTTATAAATAAGATTTATTAGGGACACTTGTTTTAAGAAAAAAATTTTTTTGATGAATAATGAATTTTTACAAGAATTGTTTTTTAAATTTTAATTATAATAATTTATAATATATGAATGGTTTAAAATTTTGCATTACTTCAATGAAGTTAGGTGATATTAAGTGAAAACTATATTTACTAATCAAAAATTGAAAAGCTTAATACAAAGTATTTTGTACCAAGATTTTAAAAATATTATGTAACATACCCCTGTTTGAAAATATGGTCGACCATACACAACATAATCAGAAAACAAGAGTGATAACTATAGTAAATTTAAATTCAACATTTCTAAAATTAGATTATGGAGAATATTTTCCAACATTTTTAAGACCATTGAGTACTTAAAAATTATATAAAAAAGGCACTCACACATCATTTTCTTAAATTATGTCTTAAAAGATAAATTCTCTGTCGAACAAAAAATAAATCTGTTAACATCTTATCAATGCCTGTTAAGTGATCTACGAGCAATGGGGACAAGCACATAATCATTGCTACTCTTTGTTTTAAAAATTCATTTCTTCGTTATTTTAAACTTAAAGATAAATAAATTTTTTTTAAATTAAATTAATTATACTTTAAATCAGCTAATATTCCTCAAAGTTTCAGAAAAGCATATTTTATTTTTGGAAGATTTTTAAAACCAAGAATTAACTTTTATTTACAAATGTGTCAAAAATGGCCAAATTTAAACAATTTCTGAAGGCATCCAAAAAGTTAAGATTCTAAAGAGTAAGCATTCTCAAAGCAAATTTGTGGCTTTCACAACACAAAGAAAATCACTTGTAACGCGTCAGGAAAATAACTCAGGAACGCCGTAGCCAAAAATGCCCGAATTTTCCAACCAGGTTATTTGATTATCTCGTTCACTACAGATTCCAATCACTATAATTTCTATTTGAAATACACTAGGAAATAGCGAATTTAATCATTTAGCTTTTGATTAAAGCTAAAAAGAAAGCTTCAAGAATGCTTTTTCATTTTTAAAAATTAATTTTAAACATTAGGTATCAAAAATTCAGTGGAGGTGATATATAAAATGCAGTTTAGTTAAGATAGAGGAGGTGATAATGTTTTCATGCATTTCAGTCTGCTTAATGGAAAACCTTGTTAATTTTAAATCTTTTCATTTGTACCCCCTTATTACTTTAAATAATGACCTGCATTCATATTTACGATTCTTACTGTAGTATTGTGCTAAAGTTATTAAATTATTATATTTAACGATGTAATAGGAAGATTTCTACAGCTATTTTTATAGTCAGTGAATTTACAAGGAGCTTATTCAATCATTAAATTAAGAATTATAATTCATCAGAAAATCTAAATAAGGAAACCGTGAAATTTTCATGTGTTGTGCTTGTACTACTTGAAGTTGTGGTTTCATTTCAATTGTTCCATAAATATACTGAGCAAATTTTTCTTAGGAAATGGATTGTATAAAATTAATCTGTTCAGGGTTTGATTTCAGTTACTGGCCTATTATTTACAATTGTTTTTCTTCTAATATTAGCTTTTAAAGAGAATTTGGTTAGCTTTCTTTTTTTATTAATATCATTTTTGAAGGGGAAATTCTCCAGAATTATTTGTAATTCTACACATTTATTATAAGAATCTGCCAAATGTGAAATTAGTTTGTGGTTTTATACACATAACATAATCTGTCCAATGATAGGCTCAGGAATGTCCTGAACCCAAAAGAAGGTTAAAGTCTTTGAACAAACTTCATACAGCCATAATGTTTATGTTTTGTTTTTTTGTTATTGTTTTTGGTGATGATGATGATTTTTTATTATGATGATGATGATGATGAACAACAGGTACAAAGTAAATATACAAATAATGGTCTTAAACACTGAATCCATGGTACTGATTTATCAGCATCTAATAATCATAATTCCAGAAAAAGTATATACTTCCATTTTAGAATCAATAAAATAGCTTGAAACATATTCAATGTAGTACTATTCTGTATCCTTGGAGTAAATCTAATGGCTACACTCTTTGTTTACATATTTTTGTGAATAATTCAAAACATTTTTGTATGTCTGCAAAGAGGAATGGAGGCACAGATCAAACCTTGTAGTCAAATAAAAATTAATACACTTGTAGTGATTCATGAATAAGAAGCAGTTGATTACATAACTGATTCATACATATTATTCACAGCTGCTGTGCAATTATAGCCTAGCGGTAAGATATCTGACATGTCAAATCAGTTGGGTTTCAATCCCAGCTTGAAGCAATTGGACATTTAGCCATACTGAGGAGCTGTGATACTGCAAAACAGTGTCTGTTGATGACTCATATATATATATATATATATATATATATAAAAATGCAACAAGAATGAATTTAGGTTTATATGCATGAAGAGACATCTTTCTTCTGAGCTCATTTAAGAGAAACTTATTTTTTTCATGCCCAAACTGTCTTTCTAGTGTGTTATCAGAATTCTATTTCCTTTCTTTTACTATAACCTAACAAAGCAGGGTGACGCAACTCTTGCTTATTTATAAATCACTACACACTGATCTCAGGTAAATGTATTTTTTATTCTTCTACATCAAAAAAATCACAGATTTAAATGGAAACATTTCTTCTACTTCAAGAGACATTTATTTAAATTTTTTATATTTATTATCTTATCTTGCTATTTTTAGAAGTCAAATTCCCCAACAAAGTTATTTTTCTTTTTATAAATCGGGCCATATTTGCTAACTTTTCAAGTCAAAATAATCAAGATGAAAGTTTTATTCTATCCAATTCATGTTTAAATGATAAATAACCCAAAAAAGTTGTATATTAACTTACCTTAGGAAAAGGATGATTCAGTAAATCATTGGCTGACATTCGTAAACTTGGATCAGATTGTAAACAATTCTCTAAGAAACTCTTGCCTTCTGAACTGAGGTTATCTGGAATCGCAGGAATATTCCCCATACCAACCATAAACATTATTTGGTAGGAATGAAATTCGTGCCAAGGCCTCTGCAATAGAAAACTTATTAGCATATTAAAGAATTCGAAATAAGGAGTTATTTGTTTTTGATATTTATTAATTACAGGGTAATACTTAAATAATTTGACAACAGTGGTTGATTATAGTATATAGTACACTTTTTAAGAGACAAAAATATGGTCTTTCCAACTGAACTTTTCCAGTGGCACAAGTATACTTAACCTACACCCTCATTTCAATCAACTAAAAAAATGTTACTTAAGTGAATCATTTTCTTGTTTTATCTAAGCATTTACTACAATGATCAAAGTGAATAGTCACCAACCAGTGGGCCAAAGTTATTATAATAAGTATAGTATTCTGAAAGATAGAGTCACTCACCTTGCCTGTAGCCATCTCTAATACAACACAACCTAAACTCCAGATATCTGCAGCTCGCCCATGTCCTTCTTCATCATTTTTGGAAAAGACTTCTGGTGCCATGTAAGCTAAACATAAGCAAAAAAGAGAAAAATCTTAATGCCAAACAAGATGAACTGCGATCAAATATGGATTAGAATCTGACAGAATGATAGGAAAAGGAACAAATAGGAAATTTTTTACAAATTTAATGTGCTTCACTTTAAGCTTCATCAGAAAATGAATTATGGAGGAAAAAAGAAAAATGTGGTATTTTTATTTTTGTGTTGTTTTTCATTGGTTAAGCAAACCTCATATGTATCTGTCCTGTCTAGCAGCATATAATTCATGTGTGTATGTATATCACAATTCTAATTTGTCTCAGCAGTAATCGTTTGATAACGTGTATGCACACAAACAAAAAGAGCACTTTCAATAAAAACATTTAAATATATAGAAATTTCTGTTTTTGAATTTTGAAAGTTTTCAGCAATGAAAAGAACTTTTCTTAGAAGTTGATATTTTTTTTTTAGTGAGTACATATTCAAGTCTTTTTTTTTTTTTTTTTACAAGTTCCTTAGTTGATTTGTGGTCAAATATCTATTTTTTTTTTATTTTCAAATTCTTTCATTTTTCTCAAATTCATCTAGCATTTCTAAAATTAGTCAAGAAACTTGGGCAATGTAAAAATTTGTTTGAAATTGGTTTGTATCTCAAGAATATACATATATAAGCACCATTAAGTTTTTATTTTGTTAAAAATTTATATTCAGAGCACCTGAAAGTACTATGCATTTTATAAGCATGAAACTGAAGGAGAAAAATGTCCTAGTCTGAATTTTTGTTTCTACAATAAGCTATTTAAAGAACATTGTCCTAGCACTAATATCATCTGTTCCACCACCCAAACTGACAAGGAAAAATGTTGGGACACCAATTGTCTTGAATGCTATCAATTTTTTGGACAAATATTTTTGGTTAAAAAACTTTACAGACTAAGAATTCCAGTTAGAATGAATCATATGATGTCCATAGTAAATTCAGAAAATGAATATACTGACCATGAGTACCAACTAAATCACAGATTTCACCGGGAACCGTTGATTGATTCTTTAGTTTGACTGAACAACCAAAATCACCCAATTTAACAGAACCATTTGAAGTGAGAAACACATTGGCCCCTAAAACAAAAAACAAAACTACTTATAAAAATGTTAAAATAAAATTTTTTTCGATATTTCAAACTATTGTCAAAAAATAAATAGTAATTTTAAGTACTACTAATTACTACTTATTTTTTATATGTAGTAATTTTAAAGTCAATGCAAATACAAAAAGAATAGAAACCTTTATAATCAAGCAATAAAAAAAAAAAAAAAAAAATTATAGACTCAAAAGCAAAATTAAAAAACTCAATTTTTTTTTTTAATTATACAAAAATGCATGCTTTATTGTAGCTTCAGTGAACATATTCTAAAAATTAATGAATGATTAATTATACAACCTCAAATGTTTTTAATGACAACTGCACAAGTTTGTAATTTCTTTTTTAAGTGCCTCAGGAAAGGTTCTTTTTAAATTTTACCATACAAATATTATCAAGATTTTTTTTTATAGTTGTTGAGTGTTGAAATATTTCCATATTCCAATTATGATTGTCCAAACAGATTAAAAATTTAGAAATAAATTTACCTAACTTAACCAATCAAATAATCTCTCAAAAGTCATACACAATAACTAGATCATTCACAGATTGTCAAGCTGTGAATGATCTAGTTATTGTGTAAAGGAGCTTCTATAAATACTAAATTCATAACTTTTCATTAACAAACAAAAAAAAAGATCTAATGAAATTATCATGGATAACCATTATTTGTTGATTATTAAAATAAAATGCAATCATCTAATATTTTAAACACAATCAATGGCAGGAAGAATAAAACTAGAATTTTGGGAGCTTTTTAAAAATTAGATTTAATTTTGAAAAATTACATTTAAGTGAAGGAATCATATTTTTTAAAAAAAAATTATTATATATATATATATATATATATATATATATATATATATATATATATATATATATATATATATATATAAAGTTTTAGCCTCTGTTTGTCAGTTATCAAACTCCTAGGCTTTTGGAGATAGACCCCATTACTATAAATATATTCTGAAACTACATTACCCAGGGTACTTGGATAAGTATATTTCATTGTTATCAAAGGAGGTCCCCTCTCCACTAGAAATTTTTATCCCTCTGATATAGATTAAATTTAAACATCAAATGACTCCTAAGGTAATTGGATAAGTATATTTCATTTTGATCAAAGTTGTATCCACCCCCCTGAAATTTTTTCCCCTTGATTTAAATTAAATTTAAGTTTGAACAAGAGAACTTATCTAAAATATAGAAGGAGAAAACCAGAAGATGGCAGTCACATTGGCAAGATCATTGAGTAACAGTGAAATGCATCATTTTTCCCACAAATTATACCAATGATTTAAAATCAATCATCATTTACAAAAATGTGTAACACACAGCAAGTCACAGGTATTTTGGTTAGTATCGGCATAAAGATCTGAGCCAACAAGATCAATCCATCAGTCATTTTTTAAATATTGATATCTAGCTATAGACATGGAATATAGAGTAAAATAAGTTTATTTCTACCAAATTGTAGTTTATACTGAAAGGTAGCAAAGTTATATACAATTCTTATATTGCTTTTTAATACTTATATTAGTTTATAACAACAAATGTAACAACACTAGTGGTGATGCTGTAAGAATTTGTACTTATGATTATAAAATAAAGGGAGACAAAACAATTTGTAAACTTTAAAAGCATTTTTAAAATATCAGACTTGATTTTTACAAAAATCATGAATCCTTTACCTTTGAGATCTCTGTGAACAATTCCATGATCATGCAGGTGACTAAGAGCTTTCAATATCTCACGAGTATACATACGGATCATGCTTTCAGGAAGGCCAAGCTTAGATGCTTCTTCAATAGTGCCACGATCACAATATTCCATAAATACAATCATTTCATCCTATAAAAATAAGATCATCTTATTGTATCAACTATTGATGGCTTTTTATAAAGATCTTAGATCTTTGTACAAATTTCATAATCAATGAATCTTCTCAATATATCTTATTACTTTAAACGTTATATTTAATGGATATGCATGTTTTAGTAGACATCTGTTTTTTTTTTAAACACTTAATTTCACAGGGATCTCTAATCAAACATGTATACCTAGTAAATATAATGTTTATAGTAATAAGAAATAATGTTAGATTATGAATAAAATCTTGAAGTTTGAAAAGTGCTTTCCTTATATTGTCATTTGTTCTTTTGTTGCCTGGTGCTATCATCAGACCATCATTCCTATTCTGATATGTATATATATTTATATGTACAACTTTGTTAATTTCATATAAGATATGTAGGCCTATTAACTCTGAAACCTCAGCACCATCAAACGAAACTTGTGGTACATCAAAGCCATCTTTTTTTTTTTTATTTCTTAACCCAGGTTGCTTCATTGTGGAATAAAATTGATTTGCAGCAATGTAAAATTATTTCCGTTTGATCTGGTGTTATGTTTACAAAGTTTTTGGGGAAGTACAAAGCCTTCAGCAGACCTTTTTCAGATATAGATGGATAAAAGTTTTTAATGCTGTATATATATATATATATATATATATATATATATTTTTTATGAATATGTCGCAAGTATGAGTGACAACAGAATACCTAAGGTCCTCATGTATAGCCAGTTTGACAGTGTACAAAGGACTGTTGAGTGACTGTGGCTCAGGTATAAAGACAAGCTAAAGAATAACTGCTCAACTGTCAGTGTGCCTCATACTAACTTCAAGTAAGTTGCCTTGGATTGAAATAACTGGAGATATTTGTTCCAGAGTGGTATCAGAAATTTTGAAGTCAGTCATATTGACTAAGAGATGAAAGACAACAGTGAAAAACATCAGCAAATATTCCTGTTGGTATGTCCCAAGATCCTCACTGTTGCACAATATGTGGACTTGTATGCAGGTCACTAGTGTGAGACTGAGCTGACACATATGGCACAAAGATTAAAACTGAATGGTGTTGTCAGATTTTCATACATCGAAATCGACAGAAGAGTTCATCTCATATATATATATATATATATATATATGCAAGATCTGCTTTTCATTTCATCATATTCATATCTGTCAAATCTTTTTAATATTCGTTAACAAAACTTTGGAATATTTACTGATGAAAAAACTGCAGCTTATAAACTTGCTTATGATTTTCATAAAAATATTTATAGATTTTATATGCAAATGTATATTGGTTAGTTATTCTTTTGTTATTTTTTGTGTTGTTTTTTTCCCCCTCCAATATTTTCAGAATTAATGTTTTATCTGATATAGACATAAAATGTTCCCAAATTCAGTACATCAAATTCAATATCAAGCAAATTCTTCACCTTTTGTACTTCTACTCCATAATATTTCACAAGGTTCGGGTGAATGATGCCTTCCAGATTTTTCATTTCATCCACTACACCCTTCAATGGGTTTTTCATCTTATCACTTGGCCTTAATTTCATCTGTACAAAAACAAAAATCATATAACTCAATGCACTATCATGTGATCTTTAATTTTACAATGATTATTATTAGAAACATCATCTGTTGTTTTTAACTAGTATTTCTTTCATCTTAATTGCACCAACTCAAAGCTGCAATAGAATGTAACTGAAATTAGGATGAAAGAAATAAAAAAAAAAAAAAAATTATTATTATTATTTTCAATATCAATGTTTTCATCAAGAGAAAAAATTGTTTATTAAATAGAAAAACAAACTGTCACAATGAAAATAGATATTCTAACGAAAAATTTTTGTTTGTACAAAAGCTAAAACAATTTTAATTTCAAATTTTCATGAAATCTATCAACAAATAACTTCAAATACCAGTTTGTAAATAATTATTTTTGCATCACCAAATTTGACTTTTCCTTTATATTAATAAATGTATATGGCATATTAGAAACTTAAAGAAATTGTACTTAACATTTCAGTGCAATGTTTGCTGGTCTATTTTATAGTCAATGCACCACTTTTGTATATAATGTAGTAAAACAATGTCATGTAAATGAATTTATATACATTTTAGATTTATTTTGATCTATAAATAAGTTATAAATCTTAATCATTTCAAATCAGTAAACAAAGAAATGTTTATACATGAAAGTATTATTAGACTGTTATGGAAGTAATAAATTAAACACTGAGATTTTATCACTCATGTTAAAGCACAAACAAATTACTAAGAAAGATTTGTAAATGTCCCATTGGTAGAAAAAAAAAATCAATAAAACATACAAACCTCTTTCATTGCCATCAGCTCTCCTGTATCAACATTGACAGCAGTATAAACTTTACCAAATGTTCCCTCCCCTAGTTGAAAAAAATAAATCACATTCAGATTATCTAAATTTATTCAATTCAGTAGCAGTATTTTAATCTTATTTTATTGGATACATTTAAGACCAAGAAAATTATTTGTAAGCATATTCAGTGTCTATTGAAGGATTTAAAAGAATAAAATGAGAACTACTTAAAAGGAAGCATTTTAAAGTTAATTTTTTTTTTAAATTTTAAAATGATGCAAAGAAATTTTTACTTCAAATTTAGAGAACGGGTTGCAAAATATCATCATTCCACAGATATTTTTTTAAATAAAATAAAAATTCCTCAACTTCTAAAATACATTTATATTTATAGATATGAGATTATTACTAAAGTATAAATTAGACAAATATGATCCAATATTTTAAGTTTTTAGAAGGGGCAAAGTGTTAAAATTCTACTTAGAATACTAGATCAAATATATCCTATGCACATATTAAAATTTTTCAAAGTTTTTAAAATTACTAAAATACAGATTAAAAAAAAAAAAAACCTTTTTGGTACATCATCATTAGTGTTTTCCTTTAGCAATATTCAGATAGTGTTGCTTAAATTGGTAGGTATTGAACATAAGATTTATCTGTTGGTGGTCACAATTTCCCAGATTTCTGTGAAGGAATTACACAGGGGATATTTAAAAGAAAAAAAGAAAGAAAAAAAGATGAACTGACCTATTTTGATGCCTCTTTGCCATCTGAAATTGACTCTTCTGGCCCTAATGCCCAAATTAAGGTCAGCCATTCTATCTGTCTTGTATCCTATAATGTGTGACATTTGTAGTTTCTTGTTACGTTCATTTTCCAGTTGGTTGATAGCATCAATGATACGAGAATGACGATTACCTCTGGATTTTAGCGGAGATATAGAGACAGAATCAGCAGAAATAGCTGAAGACAAAAGTGAACAAGAGATTTACACTTAGCAGGTCAATGCTTATTGAATAATCAGTACATAAGAAAATACTTTAGTGTAAAAATTATCAAGTTTCTCAGACAAGCTCAGATATAGTTCTATTAAGACAATTTAAGGATATTTTGTTCATAATATTTGGCTGTGTATGTATCCTGTTCTTAAAGAGTTCAAATAAGTAAATAAGTTTTACCTTCAATTCAGAAGAAATTAATTTTTAACCAGGAAACTGAAAATTTCTTTTCAAATGAAAAGAATTCTTGAAGGAATTAAATTGAATTTTCTACTCAAGTTTCTAAAAAAAATAAACCATAAATTTAAAAATAACATTTAAATTATCAAAAATATTAAGTCTATGGCTCACTGATAAATTTTATTCCCATATAATGCTAAATAAAAAAAATTATAAAAAACAATAAAATAAAAAACTCACGTGGTGTGTGCAATATGGAAGAGTTTGTGGCTCGTGTTTCTTCAGCACTTGGGAAGAGTAAAGTTTCATGAACTTCGGGGCTAGAGAGATAACCTGAGTAGGAAACAGACAATGCGATAGATAACATGAGGATATACAAAAGGATGTTGAAATGTTCTTGGTCCAACTCACTTGCCAAAATTTGACTAAATGACCAAACATCAGAATTTTAGAATCTATCCTTGTTCCCGCTAAGATCTTTTCAGCACCCCCATCTCAACTACTTGACAGCAAAATTACCATTTAAAAGTATCTTCAGCTCAAAAAGGAAATTCTTCAGTGCAAACAAGACTGAGCTTTTGTCACCCATACTTATTAGTTATTCATATTTAAGTATAAAAGATATTCTTTATTTCAAGAAAAAATTGTATTTAGTGTATATTTCTGCATATAAGGCAACCTTTAAATCTGCCCACCCCCCAAAAAAAACGCTTTCAAAAATTGGGGGTATTCTTATATTACAATTCTAAAAAACAAACCTTAAATTCTGAGTGATGTTTGTTGGTAGGATAAGCTTGGGCTTGATGCAATAACCAATAACATACATGAAAAGATTCACATTATCAAATAAAGTGATAATAAAACTAATAAAGTAAGTAGTAATATTACTACCTTATATATTACTAGCATAATTACATAATAAATTGCCTATTCGAAGAATAATTCCATATCAATGTAATCAACTTGTAGCCATGCAAGTTCAGCTTAGAAAATGTAAACATCAAATTATGATTCCAAATAAAATAAAAATATTGAAAGTGGAATGTACTATTATCGTACTGTTATTAGCAGTATTTTGTGATTGTTGATGAAGCATAAGTAGATGGCCATTAGTACACCAGGCAGTTTGTAACTGTTTAGATATATAAAAAAAAAAAAGGAAGAAGAATCAGTATTCGTGAAAGATCATGTGATTAAATATAAACAAAACAATGGTTTCCCTTTTAGGAGACATGTGTAGGAAAAACATGATATTGAATTGGTTTTATTATTTTGTTTATTTTGAATTTCTAAGGATACAGAAAGTAACATTTCCAGTAAGTAACATCATCTTTATATAATCAATAAGCAGTCATACTACAGGGATAAGGATAAATTCATGAAAATTTGCCATATTTTTTTTTACCTCCTTTTAACTAAAGATTGCTTTATATGTGGAAATATACAGTAATTACATTTTCTTAATTTGCTGAGTTAAACACCAAAATCAGTTCTAACATAATACAAAAGTTAAAGAGTTTGGGATTTTCTAAAATAAAAACACCCTCCCAAAATATATTTTGGATATAATTGTTACTAATATATCAATATTTTAAGTAGATTTATTGGTAGATTAGTAATGTCAGAACTAGAACAAAAAAACTATGGGATCATTTTTTAAAAATTTATCTATGTTAGTTTTCTAATTGAAAATCATATCTAAATGTTCTTTAGCTCATGACTCAAAAGGTTAGATGAAATGTAAGTGTTCCCAATGAGAATAATGTTTTAATTCATGTATCAGAATTATTTTACTCAATAACAGTATAAAATGTTCTTAACATTTCAGACAGCTTTAGAAATATTTCCCTGGTTTCAAGTTTCTTCCCTTGAATAGAAAAGACATTGAGAACAATTAGACGATTCCAAAAATAGCCAAATTCATATTTTAAGGTGCAGTATTTCCAGCTTCTCATTTTGCTTAAAATTGAAGCCAGTATCAAATCTTTCATATTTTGTACTCATTGCTGCCATTATTTTTGGGTATTCAATTATGAATAGTTCTTGAAAATGCTAATATTGCAATCTTAAAACTGATCTATTTAAAATACTGCTGTAAATACATTGGGGGGGGGGGGGTTCCAAGAAGTTTTGTCTTTTGTCCAGGATTTTTTATATTTTTTTCTTTTATTCAATAAATTAATAAATTTTCAATGAACTTATTTCACTGACCATCACCAGATAAGCTCATTGAACACATTTTGGGCAAAATTCTGCTGTCCTTAAAATGTTTCTTGTTTTATATATATATATATATATATAAAAGAGTTGTCTCAGTTGTAATATTATCTTTTGCTTTTTATAAAAATCTTTTCCATTAGAATTGGATATTTAAAATTACAAACTACTAATAATATTATTTACATTCAGACTAATGTGATTATTACATTTTGGCTGTTATATCCCCCCAGTCTTCTTCAGGTGCAATAACAAAGATGAGGACATTAGTCTGATTGTAAATGATTCCTCATCCCAGTAATTCAAACAGAAATTAGTAATATATCATTTAAAAAGAAATAAAAAATAAAATAAATAAGATGCCACCTTTTTAGTTAATTGAAGATTTTTCAGGTGAAAAGTTAGGACTTACCTGAAGTCGGACTTCTTGGATTAGTACTTGATCCTCCAACTAAATGTTCAAGAAATATCTTAATCTTCAATATCAAGTCCTAAAAGCAAACAACTCAACAATAATATATCAGGAAATATATGTGCTCAAAAAGAAAAAGAATATACACTAAGCTCAGATAACTAAAGGACTTAAATGATTTAGTAAGCATATAATGGTAATATTACAAAGATACAATAGCAATATTTTAATGGACATGGCCTATCTCCTCAACTAAAGAGGCACAAAATTACCTGTTGCCATGTAAATTACCTTAGAACTAATTAAATGCCCATAGGTAGACATGAAAAAATTTGCATAACTGACTGAGGTATACATAAAAGCCAGCAGATTATTTTTTTTTTGCAGAAACAAGGATTACAAATGGCAAGGAATATGTTCGAATGAGCCAACTGTGAGGTTCGTGGTAGTGAGGAATAGGAAACAGATATATTACAAGCTATTTTGGCACCATGACCAACTGATTTGACCCAAAACTAATACCAAAATTTGATGGCTCTGATCCTGAACAATTTGTTGTCAAATGGATAGAGAAGGTAGAATTGATATATTGGCTGTGTGCAGAGAAAAGGATCAAGTTTGTAGTCCTGATGTATATAACAGGTGGTGCATACAGTGTATCAGCAGCTGAGTAAAAAAAGAAAAAATGACTTCAGCTGCATTAAGTCCTGTATATGGCCTGACTCATTCGCAGCATATGAACAATTTGTAGCATAACTTTTACACCCTGGGGAGTCTGTCGATATTTTTTCTGGTGGAACTACAGAACTCTCTCAGTTCTGTTCAGTGGTATTCCCGAACCAGACTTAGTATGTGCTTTCATCTACTGGAGTGTGTCAAGTAGCTCCTCTGAGCATCCTGCCAAATGGACAAAATGGACATTATAAAGGTGCTGGTTTGTGCAAGGGCGATATTAAAGGATGACCCCACGGGAACAGAACTAGCCACGCCAGCTGTAAAACCAACACGTAACACGTTAATGAACAACTTTGGCCATAAAAAAGTTATTTTCCAAGGTAGAAGGTAATGCCTGACTAGATTGGATTTTGGGCTGAACGATACTACCCCATAATGAAATCCATTGTCAAAGCAGTGCTGTCTCAAAAAGGCAACCTCAGAATATATTGACAACCTCTTCATAAATGAAAATATCATGTCTATAACTTGCATTGTGAAAATTTGTCACGTCTTGGACTGATAAGCAAGGATCCAGAGTGTCCAAAAGATGGGGCTGGAATACTTGGCTTGGCTGTCTGGAGGAAGGATGGCATCCTACGGTGGAAATGTGGCAATGCGCTTCCAGACATCCCTGATGTGGTCACCAAGAGAAAGTTGTGGCAGGCTTGTCGGACACCTTCCAGTATGTGGATAGTTGCAGGTAGTGATAGGCATCAAGCAAAGAACAAATGCGGTAATGAACTTTCTTGGAACTGATCAAACAACATCCCACTTAAAAAATGCAAAGAGACCAGTACCTGGGTGAAGCAGGCCGATCCGTGCAAAGACAAATAGTGTGTGGATGGTAAAGAATTTACCATGTGGGTTGACACAAGTTCTTTAGCAACTAGAGTTACAATGGAATCTGGTGGGTCCATTGTTGAAGAGGAGTGTTGATTGAGGCCACAGTCAGGCACACAACATATTAATCTTGTAGAATTGGATGATGTTATCAGAGGAGACAAGCTAGTCATACAATGTGAGGTGAAGAAAAAAAAACCAGGCCTGCTGACTGGCAAAGCTCAGGTGAGCTCTAAGACTGCAGATGAAATGTTGATCAGAAGAAGGCAGCAAACCTTCTTGGAACTGGTCAAGGAGTTTGCTTTGTTGGTGGACATTATCCTTGCCAGGTCAAACCAAAACTTGGCAGATGTGAATACCAGAGTTTCATGGAGATGGCTGGAAATGAAAAACAAAGTTGAACCTGTGCTGCAACCAGCAATGGAATGGAGTTCAGCCAGATTAAGAAAATACACCTGCACTGTGGACATCCTGATGTTAGACAAACAACTTTGTTAGGAAGATCACCTCATCCATGACTAAAGAGGCTATTAGATCCTGTTTGTCAATCAAATGATCCAGCACCAATCTAATGGTAGAGAGGGAAACTGGAGACAGCAGGTGTATTCCAAAGACTAGAGATGGACATCATCCATTATACAGGCACCTGACCCTCATAGACTGTGAGTCTTCCTAGTTTGCCATTTGGCAACCCTTAGTGCAAGATGCTGCAATTCAGTGTCTTGTGGCAATCTTTCTTGAAAGGGACCCACCCAAGGAGACAAAACAGGATTCAACAGCAGGAATTTCAAGACATTTGCTGAACACTGGGACATCCACCTGCAATTTTGATGTGTATATGTGCTGCTTAGAAACAGCATTGCTGAATGTTCACACAGAACCATAAAGCAGATTGCTGCCAGGAAGCAATGGTCTGTCCAGGAAGTGATGTACTGGTACATTACACCAGAGGGTGGTGTTCACTGTGAGTCTGTTCCAGCCAATGTGTCATACTCCAACAAAGTGAAAGGCATTTATAAGATTGTGCCACTAGAGGCTGAACCTAGACGGAAAATATATAATAAAGGAGATATTGTGCTGGTAAAAACATCACCCAAAAGATGCATGAGTAAATATAGAAAAGGAACAGTGACCAGAATCTTGAGTCCCCAGGCAGTCTATGTAGAAGGAATGCCACACCATGTAAGAGACCTTTGCCATTTTCCTCAAGTAGTAAGTGAATCTGTGGAGGTTGATGTCACCACATCAAACAATAATGGAATATGTCTACTGTGACATGGCCCTTAATGTTGAATGCTAAATCAGACATATGATCAATTTATTAAGGGATACAGTTTCTTTGAGTTTCCACTTTTTTTTTTTACTTCCTGTCTAGACTGAGTCTTGTTTCAACTGAAAAATGCTCATTTTTATTATAATTCAATAACATTGCATCCATTTTAAGCCATTTTTCCAGCTGTAGTTAAGATTCCAAATTTAGATCCTGTTGTTAAACAATCAATATCAGATTGTTTAACAACAGGATCTAAATTTGGAATCTTAGCTTTGCATATCAGTTACAAATCTCTAATAAAAGTAAATTTTAAATAAACTTGAATAGATGATAAAGTGGTGAAGAAAAAACTTACCAAGAATTCTTTTTCAGTGACTTGTCCTGTAAATTCAGGTTCACAAACTAACACCAAAAAGTCCATTCCTTGTTGAGCCCATCTATTAAAGAAATATTACAAAGAAAAATTAAATTTCAATAAGCTAAGAAATTAAATTTTTTAAATTTTCACACATTATTTTTTCTGTATATCAACAGATAGGGATTATTTTAGGAATGTATTTCAGTTTTGTGCTCATTGATTCAGATATTGTTTTCTACATTTTTTACCACTGGAAATGTCTTTAAGGAAACAAGCTTTTGAGAAAAAAATTAGCAGCATTTATCTACTGTAGATAAACTGAGACAAAATTACTACATACTGCTAATTCTTTCTTGTACTGTATGCTTGTTTTTTCCAACATATTTTCTGAAAGACTGTCTCATTATTTTGCATGCATGACCAAATTAAACAATTAAGGGTACTAATGGATTCTTATCTATACAAAGTCAGAACAAGATGTACCCTTATGTGTTATTCAAATCATTTCTTGTACTCCTAACATGAGTGCTGTTTAGCAATTACAAGTAGTGTTCCAGGGTAAAGTATATGACTTGAGTCTACAAGGATAAATTTTAAGTCTAAGTAATGATTTTAATGAAGCTCTAACATATTCTATTGGATAAATTATTTTTGAAAAACTCCTTCTATAATGAAGAAGTCTAATAATTTCAAATCAACATGTGCAATTTCTTAAAATGAAAGGAGGTAAATACTTACGTTGGCCTTCGTCCACGTCCTTTTTCCCATTTCTCCATAACAAATTTCATCCAATCTTTAGCAAAGCTGATCATGCTCCTTCCCAACTGAGCTTTCTGTTCGTCTGACACAAGTCGTTGCAATTCTTTGTGATACTAAAACAAAAACCCTCAAATATTAATTCCTATGTAGATAATCCCATGAAACCAATGCAAATTCTAAGATGCTACTAAAATATTTTGCTTTGCTTTTTTAAGACAGATTATTACTAGGTGTGTGTAAAAGTTCATAGTAGTCTTTTTTAAAAATTAGTGACTTAATATATAATTGAAAACTACTTTTCCATAAACTTTTGCCCACACTTAATATTTTGGTTTAATTTTATCTAATGTCACACAATCTGAAAAATCCACAATAAATAAGTTAGAGAAATAAATCCTTAGTAAAATAGTTAAAAACAAACATGTAAAAATGTATTAATATTAAAAAAAAAAATCAATTGAATATTATATAATCATAAAACTTTAACCCTACTATAATACACAATTTTGGTTTGTTTTAATGACTATATTTTTCAATCATTCCATTAGCAACAATGTTCCATCATTAGATTTGGAAAGGTACCAATATTCAGAAAACTTTAAATGATTACTTGGTTTTTATTGCATCATTTTACATACAATTATTGCAACATGATGCTAACAGTAGTCAGTATATTATTTAAACAAATTAGCCATAGTCAACAGTGTCTTTTTATAGCCATTGTGACAAACGCTCGTCAGTACAGACGCAAAAGAGGCCTTGAATTGCATGCAGACATGTCTGTCAAAACCAGTTACATCCGGGTTTTCCCCATTAGCAGTGGGACAGCTTGGCATGCTCACATACAGGCCTCTCTGTAAATTGTCTTGATCCAGGTTTATTCCAGCATCTCCTGTCAATAAAAGCGACGAGAAAACCAGCAGTCAGCAGTGGGCAAGACTTGGCACCTTATGAAGTCGATCCCATGGGCATTTTGTTCCTAAAGTTCCTTCCTATGCCTTTTGAGATAGTGTCATTTTGTTACCTCTCATCACATTTCCTTTCTCTACCTATTACTTTCATTATGACTGGGAGAGCTATTGTTTAAGTGCCCCCACCCACCAACCTCAATTTTTCACTTATAGCAACTAAGAATGTTTTTACATTTACATAAGTAGCTAAATAATCATTCTAAGTAATGCAGTTAATCAAAATAAATACTACATAATTTATTACAAATAACAAGATTTTAAGAATTCTCTACTGGTCACATCTGACGATCAAATGGTGACAGAGAAGATGTTAAGCATGTTTCTTTGTATCACATTTGTTCTTATGAGTAGCCAAAGTAATTAACAATGGCAGTAATATTTAGAGAACTTAAAATGATTACTTGTTTACTTAATTTTGTACTTCATTTAACTTACAATTATTGCCACATGATCTAAACAAATAATGCACAGTAAATAATCAACAGTACCTTTTTATAACCATCTGTAACATATTGTTAACTAAGACTTTTTTTATATTTATATAAGTAGTGAAGTAATCGTTTTAAGTAACATAGTTAATCAAAGTAAGCACTGCATAATTTGTTGCTATTTGGAAATTAGAAGACTAATGCCTAACTTAACAAAAAATCCTAACCAGGATCAGTAATCTTTGATAACAGAATGGATTGATGGAAAGATTTAAAAAATCAAAACTGGATTTACATTGATCTATTCCTTAAGTCAAAGAATATTAAAAATATTTTAGATGATTTAAAAAAATTTTTAAGTATGAAAAGTTTAGAAAAATAAAAACATACTAAGAAATAAAAATACTAACACATTCAGATATTTTATCTAATAATAAAAAAAAAAAAAAAACTGTCTTAGCCTCTTAATGAAGTGAAAATGCAAATATTAACCTCAAAACCAAAATTGTATCCTTTATAAATGGTGACACAATAAAGATTGAGCAAGTGGCTTCTTTCTTTATAATCCATCTTTTTCATTTCAACAAAGTACAACTTTTCACTCAGCTGGGTTATAGTGGATGCTATTTTTTTCCGTAAACTCATTGCTGTTTCCTGCAAGATAAAAGCCAAGGAGAAAAAAAAAGTGGGGACACAAAAATTCAATGATATAATAAATTAAAAATAAATGACAATATATTTAATATAATATTGCTGATGGGCAATGTTTTAACCAGCATTATAGTAATTATATATATTATATATATATATATATATATATATATACACACACACACACACACACACAGAGGGAGTGATGAATAAATTGTCATCTAAATTATGCAAAACTAAAAACATTTTAACAGATATATTTACCAAAATTACACAAAAATATCTTGAAATATTAAAAGAGTAAATTTATTCAATAAAATTGCCATTGGCTTCAATCATGGATTCCAGATGACTCTTCTGGATGGTCTCCTTGTTTAAATTGGTGAATGCTACCTTCAGTTCCTCTTTGGTGTTTCAAAGAATTTTGTTGGTCTCTTGCTCAACTGCACACCACACATAATAATCAAGGGTGTTGCAGTCTGGGGAGTTAGGTGGCCAGATGTAAGGGGTGATGTGGTCACAGAAATTGTCTGACAGCCATAAGTAGGTTTTTCTGTTTGTGTGGTATGGTGCAGAGTCCTGTTGCCAAACATAGAATCTTCCAGCAGCCACCCTCTTGACCCAGTGCAGCACTATCTCCTCCTCAAGGCACTTGATGTAATCCTCCATGTTGAGTCTGAGACCCTCACCAACAAATTCAGGAGTTCTTTTCTTATCAGAAAGATCAGAGTGAGTTTTCCAATCTACCATACCTTCGTGATCACCAATAAACTCATCATCCAACTCTTTTCAAATCATCTGCATTGTCCTTAGATTGACAACCAAACACTCTGAAATGTTCATATTTGAGCTTCCGGTATGAATGCGAAGCAATACAGCATGCCATTTCCAAATTTCTGGTGGAGTGAATTATGTCATGGTGCTCCTTTTCTCACAGACGGTGCACAACTGACCCCACTATATATACTATGTAGTCAACAAAATCAAAAACAAACAACACACCTGCGTAAAATTAAAAATATAAAATGGCAACAATTTACCCATCACACCCAAACCTAGTCTCTCTTTTATATGACTTTGTTTTACAATTCCAACAGTATCAAAATTAACAACATGTAATAATGTAAGTATATTACACAAATGAACAATTCATTAAAGCAATTATTTTTCATATGAGAAATTCTATACCTTCATTGTTATACTAACACTTCAATAAATTTTTTTTATTGTTTAATTGATAAAATACATATCTCTTATTAAAAAGAAACAGATTTCAAGATTTCAAATAAATATTCCAAGTTACAAGTATTATCTAGTTTGTTCTAAAAGAAAAAATGGGAGTCGCTAGACAAATAATTTACCTTGAGTTCCGCTAAAGATTCAGAAATAGCCTGGTGGCAAGAAATCTGTTCTTGAACAATGTCCACGGATTTGCCCATCAGTTGAGAGAATTCCTCACGCAGAGGAGGAAGTAGGGATGAACGAGTCACAACCATCATTAAACCATCAACCTTAAATAAATATTAAAGAAAATGACATGCAAGCATTACAGTAGAATATCTTTTGCAAGAAGAAAGCATTCTGAAATTGAAATAAATAATTTCTATTCCTTATTTGCACTCTGATTATTGTCCTCTTCTCTGTTGTAATTATCACACTGTTTCAATTGTTGTGCAGGTGTACAAATTCTTTTGAAAACATTCAATAAGAAGATAAAAAAGAAAAAGGAATGAGATCTATTTAATATATACAGTGAGATGATCCAAAGACAACTTGATCTACTCAGAATTATTACCAGAAGACATGATCTCTAACACAGATGTGAGTGTTTTTTTCTTTATATTGTTTTTGGTTACCAGGTGTACCCTGTATCTGTCCACACACACTTGTGTGTGTGTGTGTGTTTTTATAATTCATTAAAATTTAAATTAATTTCTAAATAAGAACTCAAATTCTCATTTTCTTCCTTTATCCATTTGCACTAAAACCATTATTTCATTAAGTAATGCAAAAACTTGGCTATGGTTTCAATTTAGAAACTATTCAGTTTTCTAAAATAGGAAGAAAAAATGTAATAGAGCTGTGTTTTCTCTCATGAGACATTTTTTTCATTTACTCACAGAATACAAATTATGCAAATTGCTTATTCCCCTAATATATCTTGAATTTAAAATTAAAAAATATTAAAATCCCACATGGCTTGTTAAAAATATTATTTTATACTTCTTAATAATATACTTACACTTTTGAAAACTATAAAATAATACACAGCAACCAAAAGCAAATTTACAACTCACAAGTAAAGCATATGATAGAAACTCCTACATGTTTTTTTGTTTTTTTTTAACTGATATTCCAAGTTTGGATTCTAGATCAGAGTTGCACATTATTTTCTATAGTTCTTTTCTTTCATTCTGCTTTATTTTTCTCCAAAATCTCTAGTCTATTCTTTCTGTTGATTGTTGGTTTAAACAAAACAAAAACAAAAAAAGAGGTCCAATAATGGTTATTTCATTAAATGTCATGAACCAGCAGTCTAAAGTCATCAGAACATGTTTTTATCTCAGACATTTGTAATTCTCAGGCTAAATGGCAAAATTGTCTTTTTTTATATTCATCAACACTCTGCCAGTGGCATGATGCGATATCCTCTTGTTAATTAATCACTCCATGTATGCAATATTAAGTCAACCCTAATACTAAATTGGATGCATCGCCATTTCCTTAGAAAAATAATAAATATATTAAGAAATATTTTTAAAAATGAAAAATATATACTTAAAAATTACAAACTGCATTCAACCAGAAAAGCAAAGTGTAAAAAAGATACAATTTGAGGATTGAAGAAATTTTTCAATTTTAACAGTAAATTTCCCTTCCTGTCAAATTATAAAAAAAAAAAAAAAAAAAAAAAAAAAAAAGTTAGCATCTTTCTCAAAAATTTGTTTACTTACTGCAATATGAGACAAAGCAATAGCTGTTTGTGCAGTGGCATCCACAGGAACGATTGGCTCTTCCCACAACAGACTGTCTTGTTCATCATCACATTGCATCATCAATAGATAACCTTTGTCATGTCCATCATACTGACTATATGATTCTTGTTGGGGTGAATAATCCTCTTTGCCACAAGTGACATTCAGCAATTGCAAGATAAGGCGCTTTTCTGACAAGATTCTCTCGGGAATAAAAATCATATAACCAAGTTTGGGAGGAACAGTCACCTGGAATTAATAATAAAAATAAAAATTTTTTTAAAAAAAATCAGTATTTAACTAATGTTTATTATTTTCCTAACTATCAGTAAAATATATGAAAAAAATGAATTTAAGCCATTATGATAGCATTTTTTTTCTTCACTAAAAATTTAAATCACATGATTATATGCTGAAGAAATGGATTCATCTCAAATTTTTCTTATCAAGTACATTGTTTCTTAAATATCTCTATTAAGACAAACAAAAATCTTTAGAAAAGACTCTCTGGAATATGATATCAACAGAAAAACTCAAAATACATTTATGCCATTTTAAAAAACACAGTAAATTAAGCAGCGCTTATTTTGATTAACGTATTACTTAGAACGATTACTTCGCTACTTATGTAAAAACAATCTTAGTTGGCAATACTATAAGTGACAGGTGACCATAAAAAGACACTGTTGATTATTTACAGCTAATTTGTTTAAATAATGCACTAGTTATTGTTATGTGGCAATAAATGTAAGTAATATAATGCACTAATGTAGATAACCAAGTAATTGTTTTAAGTTTTCGGTGTGTGTGTGTGTGTGTGTGTGTGTGTGTGTGTGTGTGAGAGAGAGAGATACAAAAACCTTTATAAATGGCAACTTATGACTCCCAAAGAGTGTCAACTGACTGGAAATTTAAACAAATACACACAAAAGATCATGAAAATTTAATCCAAGATCAAAAAGGTTGTTTAAATCTCAAGTTTCATAATTGTAACAATCTACTTAACCCTCTAGAGATTGAATTTCTAAATTTTACTATTGCTAAGATGAATTTAAATTTAAAATAATTTTGTGAGTTATTTAATTTAAGATACTATATGTGGTATAGAGAGGTTAAGATTATGCTCAGGTGATATGTTAAGAGATCTTGCTTATGAATATCTGATTTTGGTTACTTCCAAGAAAACTGAATGCAATAAAATATTTACAAGTCTTTGGATAGTCTGACCTGGTTTAAGAGTAACTAATTTAAGGAGTAATTAACTCTTCTAGAAACAATTTATTATACCTATCATTGTTAAGCATCAGCAGACTACTCTTCTGGTTGCTGTGCTTGTATGCACTGTGATTATGGCTCTCCATAACTTCCTGCCTTTTCTTATTCTAAGTAACTTAACTCATTACCACTCTTTTTTCCCTGTTGTCATCCATTTACATAAACACGAGATAGGTTTACTTGCTGTTAACCACCACCCTCGGCTTCTCTTGCCTTCAAGCAAGTCCAGAGTTTTAATTTCTTTAGACACTCTTTCCTCATTATGTGTTTTAAAAGTTTTAACTATCTCTTTTTGATTGTGATTATAAGAGCCCTTTTACTTTTTATTTTCTTTAAAACTTCTTCATTGCTCATATATTCAGTCTATAATATTCTTATCATCCATTGGTAGGACCACATCTATCACTTCAAGTCTCTTCTTCTTCTGTGAAGAAGTTGTTCAGCATTCACTGCCACATAGGAGATTCAACTCTATTTTCTTTGTTTTTTCTAATGAAATTTTCCTTTCTCTTATTGCTTTGCTTAGGTGCATCTTTGGATTTCTATGTTACATTTTCTGTATTCTATTGCTACACTACTCAAATTTTTGTACTTGGTTTATCATAACAACCCCAATATGTAGCTCACATCTTGAATGGTCACTTTTTCATTGTCTTACAGTTAATAGTTAGTCCTTTCTTCTTGCTTTCCATTACTTCTTGTCTAAGAGTTTTTTCAATTTTTTTGTGAGTCTGCCATCAACACAGTTTCATCTGAATACATTATGTCTGCTGATAAAAATTATGAGTTGATTTAGTTCTCTTTTGGATCATCTTGCTGTATACGTTAAATAGAGTTTAAGTGAAAATGCATCTTGGTTTCACTACTTTTTTTTAATTTTTGTGCAATCACTGAACTTGTTCTTGATCTACATGTGCAAGCTGTTTGTTCCCAGGATTACCTGAACATCTTTGCTAGGTAAACTAAGATTTTCCAATATTTCAAGTAGGTCTTTCTTGAAAATTGACATAAATCTGAACTACTTCGAATCCTTTTTTTAAATAGCTTAGCCTGATCTAGACTTACTTATTGATGTCATGGCGTCCAATTTGTTCAGAAATATCTAAACTGTCTATACAACCATCTTCTTAGATCAATTATGAACACTCTAGTTCTCAAAGAGGACAATTGTTCATGAGATCTTGTGAAATTACAAAGAAAGAACTGTACCAAATAACATATCACATCACATGAAGATTTTCACTAACAATAAGTAAAATGGATATCACATGTAACTTGGAGAAAATATGGACATAATCAAGATGTTAACTTTTCACACTACTTCAAACAAATGGTTAGGAAGGAAATCCCCATTAATTAGTAGAGGTGGATTTGAGAAAGCAACTTTCCTGAGAAATATTCTATAAATGTCAACCAAAAGTAACACTAACAGTTTGGTCAATGAATGTTGAATTTCTGTATAAAAAAAAAACAGCTAATCTCACTATTACCATTTTCTCCATAATAAACATTGGCTTCATATATTTCATTTTTGATAAGTTCTATGTTCAAGTTGAACATATTAAAGAAAAAAAAAAATTCTCATTCACCAGGTATCAAGATACTATTCAGTCAGTTATGTGCCATACGTAATACGCACTTAGGCGATCATGTATCTTTTGATACATGACTGACGAGGCAGATTTTTTCCCCACAGTAGGTTGCTATTTTTTCTGCGGTAGACCAGTTGCCATCCAAGGTTACAGAACCCAGTCTGTCCTACTATTTACCCATAGCTGGGTGAGAAGAGGATTCATACCTTTCCCAAGGGTATTAGCAAATGTAATGGATTTGACTGGATTTCAAACTCGGCTCTCTGATTCTTCTGTCCAAGCCACTATCCATTACTCCACCATTACAATGGCAAAAAAAAAAAAAAAAAAAAAAAGTTGTTACAAATCAAAACAAGTGATGAAAAGCCTTAAAACTTACCATGATATGTTTTGTTTGTTTCAGTTTTTGTAATAGCTCTACAGTAGAAATGTTGATTTTAAAAGCAGCAGCAATTTCAAGATCCTAATAAAAAAGAAAAAAAATTTTTTCAAAATGTACAAAACTAAGAAAGTGAAAACTAAAATATACATAAAAAAAAAAAAATTAATGATAAATATCAATATTACTTTTCTTAACATTTTAGCAAAGCCCAAAGCTTTTGATGATCTTTCTCTTCCTTCACGGAAAAGGTTTTTGAAATCTCGAAATGTCTGCTGAATACGATGTCTGAAAAACAAAACCCCAATAAATAAAAGTTAATTTCAGGAAAATTCGGATGTGTGTATTAGCAAAGAAAAGTAAAACATTTAATTGAAGTTGAGAAAAAAATCATATTTGTATTCTTGATAAAATTAGCAGTTTAATCATGGAACTCTAGTTAAAAATTCAACTTTTGTTAGATAACATTTTTTTTTTACAAAAAATATTACAAAAATTAAAATATTATGGAAATAAAATTTAAAGTAGGGGTTGGCAAACTATGACCCATGGACTGCATCAGGCCTGTGGTGGATTTCAGTGCAGTCTACAAAAGTATTTCAAAGAAAAAAAATTTTTGTGCATTATTCGATTTTTATCTAATCAATTTTTCTTTTCTTGATTTTAGTTAATGCCCAATGGAAAAATAAATGACAAATATATGGCAATTCATTAACTTCATAAAAATATTTCCAAATTTGTAAAGACAACAAGGTTACTAACTCATTTTGCACTAGCCAACACAAATTAGGTCAGTGTATTCAGTTTTACTGTATGACGCTTAAGAGTCATGATTCTTATCACTTCCAATCTATCAGTTACTGATTACTGGTTACTATTAACTGTCAATACTAAAAAGATTGTTTTTTTTGTATGCTCATTATTCAAGTATTTTTTGCTACCTGCGGGTCCACCATGAACTGACCAAACAACACATGTGGCCCTCTGAAAAAATAAAATAGTTTGCCCACCCCTGATTTAAAGTAGAGCCCATTTTTAATAATAGAGAATGAATAAAATATCATTTTACCTCAATTTAGAAACTTTATCTTTGCTATAAATATCCTCATCAGTTTTATCACCACTGCTATCATCTGCTGATTTTTCACAAGTTCCTTTCAGTATTTGTGAATCATTTCTGTTGTACTTTTTTGGTCTGGATTTTCTGTTTTCACTCTTTTCTTTACTTTCCAATTCTCCCTGATTATTTTTACTGTCTTCATTATTTTCATTAGAGTTTTTCTCTTCTTCATTCTCGTATTCTTCATTGTCTTGTGTGTAGAATTCATCTATACCACTATCCAAAAAGTCCATTATGGAAGCAAGTAAACTACTTGCCATTGCACTAAAACACAACAAATTTGTATTTATTAATCTTGATAATAAATATAAAAACATGACTGAGGCTCAAAATTATTTTGAAGTAATGCTCAGTTTAGCATTGGGAAAATCGTATGCTAAAATAAAACTCTTGTAAAATTATTTATTTGTTTTAATTTATAAAAATTAGAAAAAAAAGAAAAAAAAAAAAAAAAGAAATTTTTGTGTGTTCTAATTTATATTGATTTTGTGTTCAAAGCTAGAATCAAATGTAAATCACATAAAAAATACATTTATTCTTTTAAGAAAAGAAGTTAGACTGTTTAGTCATCAACATTTTAAAATACAAAAATTCACCTGAATCGTTTGCCTGCTTCTGCTTCTCCTCCAATCACATGAGGACAAATAATTTTAGTAAAAGCCCACTCTTCTTCTAAAGTGTTTTTTAAACTGTGTGAAGCATCTGGAAGGTTCTGCAAGTTACTCATCCAATGTTGTAAGTAATTGAAGTAAACCTGTTATAACAAAAAATATATAAAATACTCAACAAAATAATAAAAAATTGTTGTATATAAATAAATATCAATACAAGTTGTTCATTTCATGATTTTAGCTGTAGTTAAGATTTAATTGCAAATTGGTTTTGTCATCTTTCACAAATATATGCAAATAATAAAATGCATTTTTACATATTCCCACAGGGCCAAATTTTGCAGGGGAGGAGGATTGCAGGAACATACAGATTTTAAAAAGAAAACATTATTGATATCTATTGTTCATTTGTATTTATTGCAATATAGACAGAACAAAATAATTGACAATTTGAAGATTCCAATGAAAAATTTGGGAAATAATTGAATGTTAAGTTTAGTGCTTCCAAAGATTTCTGCACACCAAACACTAATTTACAATTTGCACACTATATACTAATTTAAAATCCTTTAGAATTTTTTTTACCTAGGCTATTAGTAATAGATATTATGAGTGCTCAATTTTATTTGAAGAAACATGCTTCTAAATTATCATGAAATGAAAAGAAAAATATCATCTTAAATGCAACATTATTTATCTACTTTTCAGTAAATAAAAACTGAAATTTGATTTAAATCTCCATGAAGAAAAATGCATATACAAGTTTCAATTTATATGATGAGATAAGTTCACAAAAGCAGGTAAAAAAAAAAAAAAAAAAAAAAAAATAAATAAATTTGCTTTGACATCTGGGAAAATTTTCCCTCCACATAAATTCCTTTATACAAGATATGAATAAATCTTGGCTTGTGTCACTTTGGTTTTGTAGCTTTCCAGTCATTTTTAGCTTTATTTTGTGTCATCACCCAAAATAATTCTTGTATAATAAACACTGAATAAAAAGTATAAAAGATTTTCACTACAAAATCATTTTGTTTATGTCCCTTTGATATGCCAACATTAAAGCTCATTAGAACATCTCCCTTCAGTCATTATCAGAATGTTTATGGCATCATTTCTATACAGTTTAGCTTCATCCTGACATTTTATTAATATAACATATTTTATTCAAATACTGTATAAAATCAGGTATAGTGTGAGTTTTTATGATCATTTTTTTTTTGTTTTTTTTTTTTACACAAAAAAATGGTAGGGAGCACAGGTAATTTTTTGAAGAGATTAAAAATCATGCATTTTCAGTGATCACTATACACAGGTAAATTTTCTCTAGGGGGTTAAAATTCATGCAAAAAATTCAGGGTTTGCACTATACATGGTCAGCTTATACACAAATATATACAGTATATGTATACTCTATACAAATGGCATAGAATTTGTTTTAGTCAATTAAGGGCCACAAAACTTAATACCTGAAGATAATATTAAATTTAAAGTATACATTATTTATAAATATATAATATTTTAAGAAATATTATCCATTATATTAACTTCTTGAACCCAAAAGGAGAAAACGTTCAAAGGAAGCAGTTAAAAGTGTAAACAGAGATATATACATAAATAAATGTCTATAGCCTAATGAAAGAAGCATTTAATTTAAACAATACTTTTTAAATATAATTTTGTGATGAATACAAGTCACAAAAATTGAACATAAGTGAGTAAAAATTTCTGATCTAGATTTAGCAAATAAGCCAGACATTTTGATCTATCCATGTAAAATATACTTAAACTTTGCAATAAGTGAATAATTCAATTTATTTAAAAAAAAAAAAAAACAGCAGAAAAAAAAATATATGCTAAAGGATGAAGAGGAGTGTAAGAGAGAGAGAGAGAGAGAGAGAGAGAGAGAGAAAAGATCAGAGACAGAGTGAAGGATACTTACTCCTAACATTTCTTTCATATATTCATCAAATTTCTCAAGATCCATGACTTCATCAGCTTCATTAGTATCAGCATCCCAGACAACAGTAGAAACCATTTTTTGATAGAACTGCTTCATGTAGATGCCACCACGTAAAACATCTTTACATTCACGTATTAACTGAAATTGCCATCAAATATATATTTAAGTGAAAAAAAAAAAAAAAAAAACTGGGGAAATTTTTTTAAATTTACAAGAAAAATATTTGAAACAAAATCCATTTGTTATTTAAGCATAATTACCAATATAAGCCTCTAGACAAATAAAGAAAAAAATAATCAAAGACCAAACTTTTTTTTTAAAAGCCATGCCCTTTCAGGACGTAAGTGATCATGTCTCTCCACACACTCCTTTTTATCTGTGAATTGCTATGACTAAGATAGTGCTCACCATAGTTTCGAATTCAGAGTAGTCATCAGCCTACAATGGATACTGTTCAAAGTTAGAGAGCCCAGTCTACTCTACTATTTAACCTACAGCTGGGGTGAGAAGTGTTGGATTCATATCTTTCCCCAGGAGAATTAGTGCAAATGTTAACAGAACAGACTTGGCTAGAATTTCAATTTGGCTCACTGATTATAATTTGTAAATTATCAAAAATATCACTTTTCAAAAATTTTCATTTTTTTCATCTTCATAGTATACTATTTTTTTTTAAATCATTAATTTCCTGGAAGAAATCTAACACTAGTGCCCAGTTTAAAAAACAAAGAAATAGGTAACTGGCTAAAACTTTTTTCACATCACATGATTAAACTCAGAATATTATTGGTTTTGGGGTTTGTCTAGTACTGATATTTTGAAATACAAAAGTTTAATTTAGAATTGCACCTAAAAAACAAAAAGTTTTACACTTTATTCTATATCCATTTAAAAATAAAAATATCTTAATTCTTAATGTTCCTTTAATAAATCTGGCAAAAACAAAAAGATAAGAACCAAGTGATCTCAAGCAAATCAAGCACAATATCCTCTTATGGGTTTTAATTATCCAACACAAAAAAAAGCCACTTTTTAATTTCATTTATTTGCATTGTTCTCAGTTGAGTATTTCCTTTAAATTAGAAGACCCATATTTTCAATTAGAACAATATCTTAAGATCATGATTCTTTTTTTTTTTTCAAGTCACTATTACTTTATTTTCTCACATTATTTAGAAAATGATCTTTAGTATAGTTTTTTTTTTTTTTGACGTTAATAACTCTGCAGCCTAATGAAGAAAAACATTTATTTTACACAACAAATATTTTTCAGTAATCTATTTCCATTGGTACATATTAATTACATAGGTTGAACATAATAAATGTCAGCTAATTACTTGACAGGCTATGAACTTATTGATCCACTTTGTAAATCCAGTAAAAATGATTTTACTCCAAAAATTTCAATTCATTAAAGCTCTTTGAAATTCAAGGCTATGTTTTTATGAAAACTATTAAACAGAAGGCAATTTTTTGTAAATGGAACAGTGTCTTGAAAGAATCTCTGCTTGAGATTGTCTGGTAGATCAGATTTTCAGATTACATCCATTTTATTTAAGGTGGCTGAGTTTATCTATGTGAATTTTCAATTCCTTTTCAGTAGAATTTATCTCACTTCCTAGGTATGTAAAAGATTCAGCAGATTTTATTGTTTCACTTGAGACAGTTTGTATTGAGCCTTGCTGAGTGAAGCCTATGAATTCAGATTTAAAGGCATTGACAGAGTTCAAGATCATTGACTGCATTTTCTAGATGATGCAGGATAACTGTGGCATTAGTAATGGCGTCTGCAAATATAGCCAGGTTATCTGCCTAGTCAATATCTGTTAACATTTTTGCAGGACAATGATGTTTGTTGAGGGAAGTTCTCAATATGTAGTCAAGAGTGATAACAAAGAGAAAAGATGCAAGGGTGTCACTCTGAAGGACTCCTGCTTTGATGCTGAAGAAGCTAGTATCTCTGTCTGGGGATCTAACCAAAGATTTAGTATTTTTGCATAGCATCATTATGGCAGTTACTGTCTTGGAGGGTGGGGGCATATGCCAAAAGGAGCTTCTCCATTTTTCCCCTATGTTCAGAATCAAAGGCTTTAGAAAAATCTACAAAAAGTAAGGCAGCCTGTAGATTCTTTGTCCTGATGCCCTCAATAATCTGTCCAATAGTCAGGATTTGTCCAAGAGTTGATTTATTTTTTCAAAAGCCAAATTGATTTTTTTGGAGCATCTTCTCTACTTCCAGCTGTATTTTGTTGAGAAGCATGTGTTGTAAATTTTTGCCACAATGGAGGCAAGTGTGATTCCACTATAATTTTTTGATGATCTTAGATCCCCTTTCTTTGGAAAAGGAAGTATGCAGCCTTCTCTCCATTGTCTCCATTATATGTGGCACTACAGAATTAGAGCAGAATACCATTGAAATTTTGAATCTTCCAGACTTCCGGAGGAATGTTATCAGCTGCTTTCTTATTTTTGGTGTTTTTTAAAGCAATTTCTGCATCTGTAAAGTTTCCAGGTTTAATGTCAAGAGGACGTTCAATGATTTGCTCAATCTCAGTATCTAAAATGTCAGATACATCTCCCAAGAGATTTTTAAAATAGTCTTGCCATTTGTTCAGCCTGATTATTGGCCTTTATCTTAGTTTTCCAAACAGATTGTTTGTTGGCAGTAATATAGTTGATGAGCCACATTTTTTCCTGGACGTATTCAGCTTGATGATCTTCATAAGAGTTCTTGAGTTAAGCAAATGCTTCATTGAAATCTCGATAGAGAGAAATTATAATGTTAATATTAGCTGTTTCCTTATAAGGAAACATTCAGCATTCATTGACAGAGCATTTAGTGTTGCTGTTGGTTGAAATTTATAAAATTATTCTCTCAAAACAATTTTTTTCAGGAAAATAGATTTTCCAAGTCCAATAGCAGTTAATGCACTTACATTCATTGATTTGGACTTCCTTCCTTGCTTTTTGTTTGTGGAATGTCAACATCTTGATTATGTCATTATTTTCTCTTCATTTCACATGTGCTATCCATTTTAGTTGTTGCTGCTGTAGAGAGTCCTCAAGTGATGTGGTTTCTGTTATCTGGTACAGTTCTGTTTGTGATTCTGTAATACCAGTTCGAGGAAGGATAGTCCTCACTGAGACTTACATGCTTCAATTGCTCAAAGCCATTTTTAACCATTAATCATGGGAAAGCAGTTGTATAGAGCTGACAGTTTAAGATATTTCTGAATGTGTTTGATGCCATACATAGATCCACATAAAAGTTTCAATCTGACGAGACTACTCGAGACAAAGGAAGAAAACAACAAATGGTTAAAAAAAAAAAAGAAAAAAAAAAAAAAAGAACTCACCTGGCGCACACTGAGAGCTGATGGTTCTCCTGCAGGTCGCTGTTCAAGACGTAATCGGAAGCATTCATACACAACATCAAGAAGAACACGCAACAGAAACAAGAAACTTGGGCAAAATGAAGGCAAGCCCATTTCTTGGAACTGTTTACTCCTTGTTCCATGGTCTATGAGGCTGGTACTACGTCTAAGATCAGGTTGGTTTGAAGTTGTCAAAGGCGAAGGCGTCAAGTGTTGCGATGACAAGTTCTGACCATCACTGAAATTCTGTAAGCAATAAAATTTAAAAATTAAGATTAAATAAATAAAAATGCTATAAAGTCAAACAGAGGCATTAAAAAAAAAATAAGCAAATAAAAATTTGAAATATGACTTGGGAAAATTTCTTTTTTTTTTGTTTTTACCAGTCACCCACCTACCACATGGCTTAAGATGTAGTTGTTTGTCAAAATTAAAAGTAGTAAATGTTTACTGGAAAATTCTAATGAAATTGCCAGAAAGAAAACTATCCTACAATCTTTCGCTATGCAGATTTACAAAGTAAATAAACATTGTAAGAGGAAACAAAAAAAAAAAACAAAGCTGAAATTCAAAATTTTATTAGAGCTTTAAAAAAAAAAAAAAAAAAAAAAAAAATTACCCACAGTAATGTTGTGAATTGAAAATATATAAAAGAAATGAAAAGGGCTAACTGGTTATATAACTCATTGCTCTTCAGTTGCTCAACCAAAATTTAAATATGTGCATAATGCTTACAGAGGGGATTGATGCTGTGTCTAAATGTAATCTGTCTGTGATTTTACTGTCAATTCTCTAATAGTGTGTATAGGAAAGGGATGGATTTCTTTTATTTATTAACCCGACAAATTTTTATTACTTAATTATTTTTAGTGGCTACTCATATTTGAGTAGATATATATCACCTGAAGAAGGCTGGAGCATAAAACAGCCAAAATAGTATGCCACTTTGCTTGGTCATTGATGCACTCTGTAGTTGAGAGATCCGAAACACATTGGATCTAATGATAGTTTCCCCCCTAGAGGAATGCAGGTTCAATTCCTGCTGGAGAACACATTTTTTCTAAAAAGAACTCTTGAATATTCAGGCAGATAGGTGAAAATAAATAAATATACTGTTTAATAAATAAACAGAGTGTCTACTCTAATACAAGTATCCAATAAAAATAATGTTTAAGTAATATTTGTGTGTGTGTGTGTGTGTGTTTAACCATCCACTTTTTGAGTCGTTGTGCACATCAAAAAAAAAAATAAAAAAAAAGTAAAGAGGAAGTCATGTAACTCAATGAACCTTGAAGATCCCATAACAAAATATCTGCAAATAAGAAGTTGCAAAAAATACATCATACTTCTTAATTGGGAGATATTTCATTAATTTTTTGGATCAAGAAAAACTCTTGATGTGTTTAACCTTTGTCTTTATAATATTTAAAGCGAGCAAAATCTTTTAAAAAAAAACATTAAAAAATTTCTAATTTCCTGTACATGATTTATAAATGTCTGTTTATTCATACTTCTGTTGGATTTTTCTATAGACAAGTAAAATCCTTTCACATTTTTATTTCATTTTAAAAAAGGTTATCACCCACTATCTTCAAGAAGATAGTGACAGGTTATAGAGATAAAGATAATATTGAAATAATGGAAAATTTATTGATTTTCAAATTTAGGCAACAAATATATTCCAGTATTCAATATCACAAATGTATGCTGGTACTATAAAGTGACTGATATCATTGTTTAATCATTATTGCTTATCAGAGACATATTTTTATTTATTTATTTTTTTTTTTACATAATGGAGTTACCAAGTGTCATATCAAACAGCAAGACAACTGATCCAACTTAAATTATGGAACTACCTTGTAGATGAACATTCTCCCATCATTGCTAATGGCTAGTTATTGTTTGAACCCTGACCCTGTTGTTCAAGGCAGGAAGGCTCTCTCCAATTCAAAGGTTAGGACAAAACAATCTCCCTTTCTTCCATTTGTCTTTATGTCAAAGATAAGTTTTGTACTCTTAGGTGCCTAATACAAGGGAGAGTTGTAATTGTCAGTAATCAGAATTTTCAATTCTTCTCAATATGCAACAACCAGAGGAAGGCCAGAAAATCATTTAAAGGGTCAAAAAGTGCAAATAATAAACAGGATGGCTATAATAAGCTCAGGGAGTATTGAAAAACAATTTATTATTTTATATATATATATATATATATATATATATATATATACACATACACACACACACACTATTAGGCACCTAGAGTAAGTATTTATGTGACTGACTGGAAAAGTTACTAACACATTTCTTCCTATTAGCACCAAAAATCAGTATAAAAAAACAATCAAGGTAATCTAAGGTTTGTAATAAAATTAGTTGCGTTTTGATTATTTTTAACAAAAACTTTTTTTATGTACTGTTTCAAGACAAATGCCATAGGTAAATTACTACACTTTGGTATAGAAAAACTGAAATTAGACAGTGGTCAGTGGCAAAAATATAGATGTACAAAACATGAATACATAAAAACTCTTTAACATTTTTTTTCAATAGTGCAGAAAATTTGAAATACAAAAAAAAGTCATCATCGTCAAATATAAAATCTCAAAATTTAATGACCATCTGTAGTTTCTAATACTGAACGAGTTATCATCCATTTGCACATTTTTATTAACATTGCAGTCATTTGCCACTGAGAGAGAAACAAATTTTCTTATTGAAAGAACATGCATACTTACACCAATTCAAACTGACCCTTTTTTTTTATATATCAGACATTTACAATACATACTGGACAAAGTTCTTCATAGAGACTAAAATAGCCACTACTTACTGAGATATCTCTCAAAAAAATAAAAATAATATAAATCTTTTTTTTTAAATCCAGTTGCAAGTGATTAAAAACGAAAAATATATATATATATATATATATATATATATATATATATATATATATATATAGAGAGAGAGAGAGAGAGAGATATTGTTGTCAGCATCCACCCATCTCGAGAGATGATGGAGTAGCGCGGTGCACTACGAGCCTGGGCGGGATATATGGAGAACTATAGGGCTGCCCAGACGTCTAGTTCCCCCTCTCGGCCTTGCTAGCAGAGTCCAAAGGAGAGGATAAACCAATACAATTTGGTACCGGTGCGGCTGCAGGAGTTGCCAGAAGGTAGCACAAAGTGCCATCCATCCGCCTTAGGGGCTCCACTCCGGGTTTGAATTCAGAGTTGTCCTTCTCCTAGACCAGTTTCCATCCAAGACTATAGAACCCAGTCTGTCCTACTATTTACCCATAGTTGGAGGGAGAAGAAGAGGATTCACACCTTTCTCAAGGGTATTAGCACGTAAGTAAATGTAATGGTCTCAATTGGAATTCGAACTAAACTCTCCAATTCCTCAATCCAAGCTGCTATCCATTACTCCACCATGCTTCATATATATATATATATATATATATATATATATATATATATAAAATATGAAAAAAAAGACCACTTTAAGGTACCATTACAATAATTTATTTCACCAAAATCCTTTTTGAAGGACTCCGGATCATCAAGTAACACTTCCAACAATGAAATGAAAGGAAAAATGGGATTAGAAATTAAGTCACTCCCCTTACCCCAATATAAAACATGCTTAAGAGAAATATGAAATTTACCCCTCTCTATAATCTACCTTGTCTCATTAACTACAACTATCACTCTCCCTGTTAAATTACAAAAATTACACTACCCATCAATTTCTAATCCCATTTTTCCTTTCATTTCGTTGTTGGAAGTGTTACCTGATGATCCGGAGTCCTTCAAAAAGGATTTTGGTGAAATAAATTATTGTAATGGTACCTTAAAGTGGTCTGTTTTTTCATTAAATATTAGCTCTGGATTCACACTGAGCTCTCAGGATTTCATCCTCTCTGGAATTACCCATTCGGTTTACCAAGTTCTTCGTAACTTAACTATATATATAAATACAAAATTTGTCATTTAGCTAATTGATGTTATATTCAGCACCCCGACTTCAGAATTTAGCAGACGAACCTTTGAGTACTCTTTCAGTCCACTTGATGTATCACCAATTATCGATATTCTCATTTTTGTCTTTATATATATATATATATATATATATATATATATATATATATATATATATATATATATATATGTGTTGTATTTATGTTTGCTGAAATTGTTTCTTGGTAATTAAAATTTGGGTGTTGTACAAGAAGAAAGTAAATAGGAAAATGTAATCAGAACAAAGTCACTCAAAAATTATTGTGATGAGGGAGGGGGGGGTCCTTGATCAATTAATGTTAAAAACAGCATTGAAAATACTATCATTTTACACACACACATTTTCTAAAATATTTTATTTGCATACTTGTATATGAAAAAAAAAAAAAAAAAAAAAATGAAGGACAACATAAAGGGTGATGGTGATTGTGGTGATGATCATACTCACGGACGTTAAAGAAGCTGAAGACAAATTATTTTGGGGAGGCATCCGCAGAGACTCCTCAGCTCTACGAAGAGAACCATCCAAAAGATCTAGTAACCTTTTCATCAGTTTATGCATGCCCATCTTTTTTAAACTACGATCAACATAGCTGTGGTAAAACGATGTCTTGGGGCATAACTCATCAGATGAGTCAACATCATAACAAGTGTAAGAGTAACTTTGGTATGAGATGCTGCATGAAAATTTGGAAAGTGTATTTAAAGGTGGGGCTATAGGGTTTGTAGTTGGAGAAGGGCTTGCTGACCGAGAAGATCGTTCACTGTCACTTAAATTAAACTTCACTTCAGGTCGTGGGAGAGTTAAAACAGTTGTGGGTGGATGCAACGATGAAGACGATGTGGAAGTGGATAAGGATGTTTCAGACGAATGTTCATCACCTGAAGGTGGAACATTATCATCAGTTGATTTGTTCTCCGCAATGTCTGATAAAGAGCTAAAATCGGTTGTCTCAGCTCCTCTCCAAGACTGATTAATTGCCCAATCACTTTCATAGCTACCAAGAAGTAACTTTTCAATGTCTTTATCTTCTCCTAACCATGGCCAATCTGTCAACTCATTTTGATTTTGCTGTAGTACTCGTCCAAGTAACCTGATTTTATGACATAGTTCTCTGGTTATACTCAGCCAAAGGCACAATGACTTCACTCTGTACACAAAGTCTTCTCGATTATAAAGGCTGTGAGCGAAACCCAATGCCTTTGTTGTAGAATACTGCCTCTCACAAAAGTCCAACTTGTCTAATAATTCACTGACATGTTTCAGAGCATATTTCTGAGCACTAACTATTTCAGGTGTTAGTGTAAAAATATAATGACTACGTTGGGTGGTTTCTTTGGGAACACTATTAGAAAGACCAGTTTCAGTAGAATCAGTGCTAGTCTCTGAATCAGTGCTACCCTTAAGATTAAAATTCATGATTTCATTGAGAATTCCTGGAATTTTTTCTCTATTTCGTGTCAAAATTTCATCCTGCTGTGTCAATGTAACATTATTGTACCATGCTTGAATGTTACGCCAGATCAATTCATTGCACCTTTTTTGATGTTCCTGTTCTACTAATTCATTGCTGTTGGAAAACCTACCCAGCCGAATGAGTGTGGAAAAGTTTTCATGGAATTCTTTTAAGTTTGTCGGCTTTATAAGGTAAGGAGGACGAGCTTGATAGGAAAATCTGGAGTTACTGTGTTTCAACTTCTGTCCACTAATGGAATCCATTTTCTTCTTAAGGGCCCGTGTGTCTCTTTTTCTTTTACTTTCATGAAGAGTGTCAGGATCCATACATTCATCAGAGTCAGTGTGGCTGAGATTGCAGTGAGATGTATTGTGCTGTTGTTTGAAGATTTCCGCAGGAAACCTTGGTTGACGCTTCTTGCGGCTTTTCTCTTTTTTCCTAACTGCTGGTTCTGGAGTCAAGTCTTGAGGATTTATAAGGAAACATTTTAATTCCAATTCAGTGGAATTAAGCCTTTCATCATCAGCTGGTTCATCAACTTTGGTGCTGATGTACCTGAAATAAATACATGGATGGCTTTGAGTTACTAAATCAAAGAGAAAAATCTAATTAAAAATTTTACAATTCCTTCACATGGAACATGCAAATTGGATATAACTAACAATTTGAACATCAAAACAAATAAATTTGAAAATATGAAAAAAAAGAAAAAATGTCACATGTGAAAATGTTTCTATCTTACAGAAGATTTTTTTTCTGTCCATGTGTTTTTAAATCTAAATATTCAGGTATAACAGAAATAGCAAAAAGTAGTGAAAGTGCTAAAAATGAAACCACTAAACAGACAAAAATTTATGTAAATGAACTGACAGTTAACTAGTTAGCTCATTGTTTAAAAAAAAAAAAAAAAAAAAGAAGCACACTACAGTTTGAAGTTATCTTCAGGATGTACTATAAAAATAAATTTTAAAAACCTTGTAAAATTCATTGTCACTTTATTTGTGGATTGCCTTAGTGTGGAAAAAAAGCCAACAACCAAACATATAGAGAATTAAATGAATGTTGATGTGATTTGAACTTCTGACTTGGAGGTAAGCAACATGCCAACAGATGCTGCTAAAATATTTGGGTAAAATTAACTTTGGAATACAAAATTAAGATATGTTTTAGTTTTTTTTTTTTCTTCTTAATTTTTCTAATTACTTCAATGAGTCACATTTTTTAAACTTATTTAAAATAAAAATTAAATGTAACTTTTTTTTAAATGTTTATTACATTTTAAAACAATTATTTCTTATCAATTTATATTTATAATTTCATATCCAAATAGTTTATATCTTAACTTATACCAAATAATTTATCAATTATTTTTATCAATTTACTGTTAAGTAATTTTCAGAAATCAAGATGTTAAACACATTTAGAATAAAAATTAAATTTAACATTTTAAAAAGACAATTGTTTCTTTAAAGGTTAACAATCAGTCTTGGATTATTTTAAGTGTTTTTAGCACAATTTTTTAAAACTGTTTTTCTTTTATTTCCTCCAAATAATGAAGAATTTTAAAAACTATCACTAAATGTAAAATTTTCTTACATTTTAACAGGATAGCTGATTAGTTTGTTTTTTGAAAAATAATATTGATGTGTTAAACTTCTCAAAGCTACTGAATTTTTATGAGCATGGAAGATTTTAAGGTAATAAGCAAAGAGTTTGAGAAAATGAAAAAAAAAAAGGATATAATTCAGATTTATTAAATATTCATAAAATGCAAATGAATCAGATAATGTGAACTTCTTTTTTAAAGTATATGCTTAAACAATTTTCTAGTAAAAATGCAGCATAATTAAAAACTTTTGAAACATTTTTTAAAATCCAAAGTATATGAGATATACAGGATGCGATGGGTAAATTGTCGCCATTCTATATTTTTAATTTCGTGCATGCACATTGTTTTTGCCAATTGCAAAGTATAGTTGGGCACCTTCTGTTAGAAAAAGTGCACCATGATGCAATTCACTTTGTCATAAATTTGTAAACTGGATGCAGTACTACTTGGAATTTGAACTGGAGGCTCCAATACAAACATTTCAGAGTGCTTGGGTATCAATCTAAGGACAGTGCACAGGATTTGGAAAGAGCAGGATTAGTCTAATGGTGGTTATGAAGATATCACAGATTGGAAAACTCACTGACTGTTCTAATAAGAAAAGAACTCCCAAATTTTTTGGTGAGGGCCTCAGATTCAACACAGAGGCCTACATCAAATGCCTTGAGGGGGTAGTGCTGCCCTGGGTTAAGAGGGTGACTGCTGGAAGACCCTATGTTTGGCAACAGGATTCTGCACCATGCCACACAAGTGGAAAAACCCAGTCATTGCTGTCAGACGATTTCTGCAACCACATTAGCCCTTAAATCTGGCCACCTAACTCCCCAGAATGCTGCCCCCTTGATTATTATGTGTGGGGGCGCAGTTGAGCGAGAGACCAACAAAACTCCTTGTAAAACCAAAGATGAACTGAGGGCAAAGATTATGGCAACATTCACCAACTTAAACAAGGAGACTATCCAGAAGAGTTGCAAGAGATTTCAGTCATCTGGAGGCTGTGGTTGAAGTCGATGGCAATTTTATTGAATAAATTTATTCTTTAGTATTTCAAGATATTTTTGTATAATTTTAGTAAATATATCTGTTAAAATGAGATGTCAATGTTATTTTCATTTTTGCATAATTTAGACGACAATTTATCCATCGCACCCTGTAGTTATATGATTATTACTTTTGAAATTTTGTGTGTGTGCATACTTTTCATTCATTCTTTTGATTTTTAGTGGAAAAAACAAAAGAAAAAAGTAACTTTGGATAAAACCAATTTGTATTGCATACTCCGGAGAGAGTCTAAAAGTCCTTTTCACTGCATAAAGACAAACCTTAAAGAAATCTATATGAATATTCTACACAATTATTAAGATGTTTTGTGTGCATAGTTTCTTTGTTTCCAGAGTCCTTCAGTTATTGCTATGTATATTAACTAAAAACAAACAAAAATAAAATAATCCAAATCAGACAAATTATAAACAAATTAACTACATATGCACACATAAACACAAGTAAATGTAATAATAACAACCAACAACAAATAATAAAATAATCAATAATAAATAATGAGTAAAAATGTTAACAAACAACACTATAAAATAGCCACTAAACTGCATTTGAATACCCAATTATTTTCACTCAATAGTTCCTAGAATAATTTGAAACATAATCATTACTACCCACTCAAATAACCATTAGAATAATGGACCTATCCATAATGCACCACTGACCAGCATGTATAATTGAGTCAAAACAATGCACATGGCCTGACAATTGCATTTATGCATGAAACAGACTGTCATTAGTGAATGTTGACTTCAATGTCCACTTTATATATATTACTTCTTTCAGCCCTGGAATTATGAGTTTAGCTAATGTAATATCTTTCTATTCATGGAAATATATTGTGGTTATCTTTGATTAATAAAACTTTTCTCTATTATAGTATTGGTGTGTTTCACCTACAATTTACAATATATGTTTATGCAACAAATTTATTATAATTTTCATTTCAAGGAATAATTAGATCTTTAGTTCAAGTTTGGATTTAATATATATTGTAATGGAGATTGTCTGTTGCGTTATTTTTTCATCAGTACAACAATATTTTACATAATTATAGCATTATAAACATTTTTGTATTGGGGTATATATAAACACCCTAAATCCATTTTTAGAAATTTGAGGTGGATAACAGAGGATTAAGGAGGGAGAACAATAAAAGACAGGAAATAAGAAAAGATAACAATCGACATTACATTAAAATTTTTAAAGACCAGAAAGCAAGAAGCCAGAAGAGAATTCTACAAACGAAAAGTATGAGAGAAAAAACTGTTAGCATCGAGTATAATTATATATAGCCATTTAAATTGCAGAATGATGAGACCTAGTTACCAATCTAGTCAGTCAGTTACGTGCCATGCGTGATACACACTTAGGTGATCATGTATCTTTTTTTTTTCCCCACAGTAGGTTGCCATTTTTTCTGCAGTAGACCAGTTGCCATCCACGATTATAGAACCCGGTCTATCCTACTATTTACCCATAGCTGGATGGAGAGGAAGATGATTCAACTGAAATTCAAACTTGGCTCTCAGATTCCTCAATCCAAGCCGCTGTTGATCATACCACATCTGTGCTTAAATTCATGAAGTGTAGATACCAAAGAGGAAAACTTATCAAAACAATTGCAATGAAAATATTTATAGAAAAGGCACAGAGAAGCTATGTTATGGTGGTGGAAAAATGACCGAAGCCAAGATGCCAAGTTAGGACCAATAACGTTACAGATTCTTCTTTGTATTTTATGTAGAATCTCTAAATACATAGCAGAAGCACCAGACAAGATGAGTCAGCAATATTCAATGCATGAACAAATGTTAAATATATAAATGTGTAAGATAGATTCTAGCAAGAAAAATTGTCTAGCATGATACAGTGAAATAACTTTCCTAGCAGCAGACTTAGTATAAGCATGAAAGTTAGTCTATTATTCTAATTATCTGTTATATATTTTAGTGACCAAAGAAAGGAGCAGTGTAATAATAAAAAGCAGTAACAAAAAGATGAAGAAATTAGTTAAAAGTAATAATAAATTTTATTTCAGATTCTCTAAATAAAAAACAGAGTATAATCTGCAGTTTTTTTCATATCAGGAAAATACAGAAAAAAAATGAAAGTTGTTTATGTGTTACTTATCTCTGTGTATAATAAACAAAAAATGTTAAAAATCAGTATAGAAAAGATTTACATTCAATCAACAAAAAGATTTTTGTTTTCTTAAGTTATTTGATGCTATAATTAAATAAAGAGACACTTATAACTGAATGCATGAATAAATGAATGAGGATTAATCATTTTTTATAGTAAAAAGTTTATATTGTAAGAGAAATTATAAAAACTTCAAATACAAGATAACAGAAAAGGCAGCTTTACTGCACAAGACAAGAAAAATAATCAACTGATTAATGTGGTTTTTTTTTTGTTCTTTTTAACCATTTCACACCAAGCAAGGCAATAAAAGCCACAAGGATGCAAGGGGTTGTTGAGTGTGAAAGAAACAGAGAGGACAATAAAAAACAAGATTCAAAGAGAAAGAAAATGACAATTGACATTGCATTTAAATTGTTCAAGATCATAGTTGATAGGAAAGCAAGAAACTGTCTATATAGAACTTATGCTTACAAATGGTAATTTCAACAGTGAAGGTATGAAACCTGTCAACATAGTACTGCACTTAAATTCAGAAAGTCAAGAAACCAACAAGGAAAGCTCATCAGAACAATTATTGTGAAAATATTTATAGAAGAAAAAGGAAGATACATTATGGTGGTGAGAAAGTGACTGAAAGCAAAAAGTTACTTTATCTTATTGTAGATTTTAAAAAGAAAAATTATAACTGAAAACAATTTGAAACTAAAACATGATTTGCATTAGAGGAATGTAACAAAAGAACAAATACAAGATAAAAAATAAAGATTTATTTCAGTGATATGCAATTGTGCAATTGGTGACAAAGTACTAACTCACAAACAGATAAAGGTTAAGTACATTTTGCTCAACCTGATGAAATTATATTGTCATAGTAGATTGATTAGACCATATTAATAATCACTATCAACTAATTTAGCTATCATGTGACAAACTGGGACAGAGGTATTGGCTTTGCTACCATTAATGGCAACGATGCTTTATGAATTTGGAGCATCTATAAATTTTTTCTCATAAAATAACTTTTTTAGACAATATAATTTTGTTGTTTCATCTAAAACACTTTTCTGCCTTCTCTAGGTTCATTTCTGATGCTAATGATGAAATTGATAGTTTCCATACAGGAAACCTTCAGCATTCATTAACCAAGCGGTTAGCATTACTGTTGGTTGAAATTTAAAATATATTTTTCTCAAAACAATTTTTCAAGAAACTAGAATTCTCAAGTCCACTTTTATCACTCTTCTTAGTATTGATGAGAGTTTTCTTCCAAGTCTTTTGTTTAAGGTAGTGTGGAAATCCAACATCTTAATTATATCATTATCTTCTCTACAAGTTAATGTGCTACCCATTTTTGTTGCTACTGGAAGTCTTCAAGCTATGTTTTTGTCACTTGGCAAAGCACTGTGATTTTGTAGCACCAGTCTATAGCAGAGAATGAAGGATTGTCTTTATGATTTAAAGTATTTTTAATATATAATTATTTATTCTACTCATGGTTAGAATGATGTTTTAATTTATAAGTCTGTTGATGATGCCAATATCCTTTAGCTGAGATTTAAACCAAAACCAGATTTCAGTAAACAAATCTGGCAGTATTATCATTCCAACATCCTAGAGTTTAAGTGAGAAACAGGAAAAAACTACAGATCACAAAACAATAGACACATTGTAAAAGAAGGAGTCATAAAAAGTAGATAACTCTCAAAATATTTTCAAAAACAACTTTTATCATGTAGGGATCTTTAATCTCAAAATAAATATCTACATTGAGGTAAGTCGAGAGCTCTGAAAATGATTTAAGATTAGAAATTACTAATAAAAGGCAAAATGTTTTCTAAGTTTACCTACATTCAAAGATATTCTTTACTTTTACGTGTATTCAAAAATCAAATAAATCTACCATAAATATGAAAAACTGCTTCATATAAACTTAAAAGAAAGAATACCTGAACACATTTAAACTGCTTTTAGTTCCTTTCCTATGAACTAAATAATAATTTAATTTTAAAAATAAGATCTATACAATGCATAGTGCTATTAAAAAGCACTATACATTGTATAGTTCTTATTTTCTAACAATATTAAATTTTGACATTTTATTGTTGTATGACCTTTCCTTTAAAAAAAAAAAAAGACTGATTAAAAAAAAAAAAATGTTTCAAACGTTCAACATTCATTCTTAGTGATTACTACAACACAATAGAATAAGTCCATTATCATTTCAGTTCTTATAATTTGAACTTACATAACCATGAGTTTTGAAATTTACACACAAACTGACTTCACTCATACATTTTTCGGCAAAATCTTAAATGAAATTTTTACAAGGTAAAAAAAAAAATTACTTTCCATATTTTTTTTTGCTAAACTGATGTCAGAAGTCATCCACTTTTTTTTTCTTTTCTTTTTAAAAAAAAAATCATGAAAACTTTAGATCGGTAATTTAGGCTACATTGTTTTTCTTATAAATGCCTATTTTAATTAATTTTACGTTTATCAATAATTTATAATTTTTTTAGAACACTGACAAGACATGTAATTGAATAAAATTGCACAATTTGTTTAATAATGTTTTTGTTTTTTGTTGCTGCTGCTTAGCTTAAAATACGAAGACTTAAAATAGAATTTTGTTCAATTGTTTGAAAATTTGAATTCAACTAAAAAGTTCACTGATCATCCACAATAATTTTTCGCAGTTTTCTTTTTCTTTTTTTTGTTAAATTCAAATTGGGAAATCTTGATTCCAAAATGACGTAAAAAGTCCTTGTCTGCTATGTCTGCTAATGAAACAATTTATTTCTCTTTGAATTGAATGTGGTACAGTAACAAGTGTAAAATTAGACAACTATTATTTATTTTCTGAAATTCTAAGAAAAAAAAAAAAAAAAAAAAGAAGCAATCTCTTGTAAATCTTCAATTGTATTATTTCCCCCAGATTTCAATTAATTCCTCCCCGAAATTCAGGTTGTTAATTTTCTCTTTATGAAAATCGGATCAGTTAAAAAAAAAAAAAAAAAGCAATCAGCAAATAACTTAAGCAAACAATTAACGCTAAACAGAATTATCACAAATCAGGAGTACTGACACCCTCCCACTCCTTCAAAAAAAAAAGGGGGGGGTAAAGCAAAACTACGCTTACAAGCAATGTGACTGAAGTAGTAAAAAAATATTATTTTGCAATGAACGTAAAAAAAATAATTCACAGTATTTCTTTACAACAAAGTTTTTAGTCAAGTAAACAAGTTCAATGGTAATGGATAACGAAAAAAAAGTGCACAAGTTTTACAAATTGTTACAAGTTTCTAAATTCTAACTTTTTGTGTTTCCCCCCCCCCTCTCCCTAGCTGAGGACAGAAGTTTTAGTAAGTAAAAAAAGTCCGGGCCCGGAGTGTGAACACACACCAAACCAAAATGCACACTAAAAAAAAAAAAAAAAAAAAAAAAAAAACATCATCTCCCCCCCAATAAGTAACTCATCCCAAGTTTTTTAAGCGTTTATTTATTATTATTGCAGCCCAACATTTAACGAAGCACTTTGCATAATTCGGAAGAAATAAATATTTGAGAAAATTTGCTTTTTTATGGTTGTTTCATTTTAACGCCGTATCTGATTTTTGACGAATCCCGGGACACAATTTAAGTAGAGTAGCTTAAAGAAGCCAACAAGTAAGCTAAGCAAGATTTTTGTTGTTGTTACGATTAAAAAGCTAAAGCAAAATACGAGAATTTGAAAATTTATTTTTTCCTTTTCTCTAAAGAACACTCCATAAATAAAAATAAAATAGATTCGTGCGAAATTGATCATTCAAGGTGAGTTATAAGTAAAAAACAGCTGTTTATTCAGTTTATTTATTTCTTCAATACCTCTTTTTTGTTGAGATATCTTTTTCACCTTCAAACTCAAACATACATTGATACATGCTATGCAAGTAAGATTTTTATAATAAATCTACTTGGTCACTAATTTTTCGCACAAAAAAATGCTGCAGTTATGACACCAATACTTGCAATCTACGTGTGTGCAACAACAAATGCATTTTATTTCCAAATTGCAGCAAGTCTATGCAATGTTGCAAATCAACTGTCTCCAAGTCACAGGTTCTGGTTCGGTCAAAAAAGTAAATTTAGGTTTTTGCACTCTAAACCAGTGTGTCAGCTATCACCATCTTTGTCCTTTTCGTGCGCTGGATTTTCGTCTTTTGTTTAGCGCTTCACTGGAGGCAACCAAGCAACAGTCTTGTTCACCAAACATCTATTTATTATGCATTGTTTGGTATTGCATAATCCACATAAAGATGACGTGCCAAAAACAAACCTTATTCATGTTAGTTTAGAGTAGCAAACAATTTTTTAAATAAACAAACATATTTTTATAAGGTCAAAGTTTAGAATGAAAATTTTGGAGAAATTTTTCCGGACTTATTTTTGTAATTTGTTAGTTAATGTTATAAAATCCCTGCAACATTGAATAACGAAGACAAATAAACAAAGTTGTAAAATTTAATAAAATTATTATTTGAACATCTTTGAATGTTAACAAATGAATGTAATTGTAAATAGTCATAAATAAATGCTTTTGCTCTCTTTTCATTCCTTCTTCGACAAACAATTTGGACATTAATGAAAAAAACGGTGTCACCAGTTGTTAGTGCCGAAGTTAGTAAATAAGTACAAAATGATCTAAAAATAAAAATGCAATAAATAAACGAAGCGTCAGTACTCAAAGTTCATATTCTTATGCAAGTAAATCTTTAAACAACTGTTTTTTTTATTAAATATTTGAGTATGCACACAAACTAAAAAAAAAAACAAAACAAAAAAAAAAACGAAAACATCACGGTTGTTGCTAGATGAAAAAAAAAAACTTATAAGTTCGTGGAAGAGACCTAAATACATTTGCAAACTTTCTGCACACTAAAAGTATGCAATCGTCCCAAAATTGAATTTACAAGGTTTCTGGGTTTCTGGGGAAGATGCATATTTTGATAAAACAAACATACCCTTCAGATGCTGTGCTATAGTACTTAAAAATCGGCTTGTCCTCTGCGTCAGCCGAACTTGCTCCCCGACAGCCGTCCATTGTGACCAGATACACTGAGAAGATCTCGCGTGATTTAACACAGGACAAACAGGCAGGGCCTATAGTTGTGTCGATATACGACCGAATAATTTTCTCAAGCAGAAAAAACATTAAATGAGCAGCCGTGTGCGTGCCCAGATTAACCAGTGCCAGTAGGAGATTTTCCTATTTGCCCGGTGTTTTAATCAGAAGTGTTGTAGATGTTCCTAGACAAGCAGAATGAACTAGTCACCGAAATTAAAGTAATATAAATTATTTCACATGTAAGAACACGCTTTTTGCATAAGGCTCTTCTTAAAGAATTAATTTAATCTAATTTATTTCGCATTTTTAAGTTTCAGAATGAAAGTTAATTTTTTTTACCTAGTTTGTTATTGTTACAGAGACTGCAGAAAAAATACGTTTTTTAATTTATTCAATTATTCTAATTGTAGTAAGCAAAATAAAGATAAGAAGACTTTCAAGTTTCCGAGTTATTATTTCTTGTCTAGTAAATATATTTTTTTAAAATGTTGAAGCATGTGCTTACAAAAAAATAACATTGAAGAAAAAAATATCATTTTTTTTAACTTTGTTTTTGCTGCTATTGTGCCTTAGTATTCTGTAGTACTATTTAAATTTTAAAATAGGTTACTTACTTTAAAAACATAGTTTTTTTGGGTTTTTTTTACACCATTAAATTCTTAAAGTTAAAAGTAAAACACACTTTGTTATTACTAGGTTTAGTTTTGGCACGAGTCCACAAATATGGTGGCACCCAGTGCGAATCGAACTCGCTATTCAGTCATAAATGGTCAACCAGAATAATCCGCTATCACCTCACGGCCGGCGAGCCGCTCACATTTATAATGTAGGTAAACAATGAGTGCATAACGAACTCTGAACTCTAAGCATTCATTTGATTTGAGTAAAAAAAGTGGTGAGTTGGGTGGAAAAAAGTCTTCTAGTTCTATGTTTCACTAATTTTAGTGAAAATTCAATTTATTGACTTCAATAAAACAGGTAAAATGAAAATCTGATCTACGAGAATTTTATGTGCATGCACAAATACACCTGCTAGAGAGACTGATAATTAGAAATATAAAGGTAAGTACAGGACACGACTTAAGTACAGTAGTCAGTGAAGAGCGGCTCTCCCACTATTTTTTTGGACTTTCTACCAAACTAAGCATTATTTTTATTTTTTTATGGATCAACCACTGCTAGGTGGGGTGGGAGGATAACTGCTAATACAATCTGATGATCCCTCTAGTCTCTAACCTTAAAAATTAAAAAAAAAACAAAAAACAATATTTACTCACAAATGAGAAACGTCCTTCAAGAACTAATTATGTTTAGTTTACAAGTAGATTCCCTGTAGTGTAGGGTTGCCAGTTAAAACTGAAGTTTTAAAATTCCATTGTTACTAAATTTTGAATTTCACAAGTTTGGAGGCTACTCTTAAAAATAAGGTAAGCTAATTTGAACTACTGATAAACTTAAGCCAATGATTGATTATTTATGCATTTAAAATTTAAATATAACTTAGCAATATTTGTGTCTTTAAATTTTAAAGACAAATATTACTAAGTTATATTGCATTTTTTTGTTAAAATACATGCAGTGATAATAAGATGCAGATTATTATTAAAAACATATCTGATCAATGCAGTGATAATAAGATGCAGATTATTATTAAATCATATCTGATCAATGGCTTTGCTTGTTATTTCCAATGTCATATGATGTAAAGTTATTAAACATTTTTTGAAAAGAAAAGTCAATATGACATCAGCTTAAGTTGATCATGTCAGCTTCTGACTAATAACACTTATGCTTTTGCTCCCTGAAAATGACCAGAAATGGTCAAAAACACTAGAACATATAAGAACTAAGGACAGTCTTGAACCAACCATGTTTCCTTGTATAAAAACAAGAGAAAATACAAGAAAACATAACATGGTATTCCTTGTCATATTCAATAATAGATAATACATGCTTAAATTAAAAATTACTTTCCGAATACTTGCATATATATATATATATATATATATATATGAGACAATTTTGAAAACTTAATCTTGATAAGTTTTTGCCAATAATCTAGTGTCATCTTTGTCTGATGATACACACATATCAAGGAAAAAACTCTTCTACAAGTTATCTTATCTATTTACCATTCTGTCAAACTCAGCCAACTTTACTATCTCTCTCTACTATATATATATATATATATATATATATATATATATATATATATAATATAAAATTGTGTATTTGGACAGCAATCCTTCTTTTATGCAAGTTTCATTAAAAATGACTGACAAGTTATGTGGTTAATTTTTTTTTTTTTAATTTTTTATGTGTTCTTATAAATTTTTTCTTTTCTGGACATAAATTATATGAAAATTGTCAAGGTGTTTTTTTGTATGTCCGAGCACTTTCGGCTATACTTATAGCCATTATCAAGGATGAATTTTATTTTTACTTTTAGCTGAATATATGGATTGTTTTACGTATATATCCAGAGTTATAGGAATGTTTTATTTTCCAAACATGGTCAGCACATTGTGACCATGTTCATAGTTAATATTATTGAGTGTTGGCTTTTTCTTTTTTATTAATAATGCTTCCATTATTTTCAGCTTTTTTTATTTTTAATATGAGTATGAGTTTATTATATTTGTATTATCAACATGTATGTTGCAGATAGAGTTTGGTAGGTCTTCATGTGTATTTAAATGAGATCTAATTGAGCTAACTTGCATATATATATATATATATATATACTTTCACTGGCAACTCTGATACTGTTATCAAAGTATTCCACCACTTTCTTATTTTATACAACTATGAATAAAACAAAAGCTTTGTGGATATCACTTAAAACAAAACTTTACACTCTAATAAAGTTTTGGAGTATATTTGATGCCTGCTAAGTAACATTAATTAATGTATATTTACATACAAAAGGAATTTCATTCAGCTCATAGCTAGTTTAGTACTGCAATTCTAGAATTGAATCCGTTTCCTTCAAAGTGCATCCTCAATATATTACAATCAATGATATACCAATAAAATTTCTTTATTGGTTATTATTTATGTCCTTAAATTAAGTGAAGATAGTTTTTGTATTCCTTCAACCATACTTCATGAGCAAATCACAATGAACTAAAGACAGGCAAATTGAATTGCACAATCTTATATCACAATGCAAAGTGTTTATTAATACTGACATGGAATTGGCAACATGAATCTCAATTCCTTTCTACATCCCTAAATCCAACAATAGTTCTCACTGTCCAGACTCAACTGAGTTCAGAAGCATATATGTGGCCTTGTGGGTGATGAATTATTCTCCACTCTTATCACACAGACAAAATATTGTAAGCCACTTGCTACTTTATCACTATTACTATGACAAATGTTTAAACGAGCTACATTCCTTAGTCCCACCAACTCAGACTTACTATGCCATGTTCATAGTGGCAAATCATCACCATTCCCTTCATAAGGAGTAAGTTCCACTGACAGTTTCTTCCAAAGAACTGTTACTTTGTGGAACAGACTCCCAAGAGGATGATTCCCTGACCACTTCAATTTTAACCTCTTCAAGTTCAGGGCCAATCAATATCTATCCTATATATCCCCATAATATGCACTTCTTACCACCATCTTCCCTCACCTGTGCAAAAATCTACCTCTACTTTGAGTAACCCATGACGTTGTATTGGGTGAATAAAATTTAAAAAATAACCATTTCCCTTTAAATCAAAAGTTGGTAAAAATACTGGGAAATGATTTAAGACAAATTACACATTAAAAGTTTTACATTCTTTTTCTGAAATACTCAATAACAGGACCATTAGTCATATTTCCAAAATCAATATTGATTTCTCATCAAATACCAATTCCCTATCTCTTAAATTTATCAAACCTGCTGAAATTGTATGGCTAAAAGTAATCAATATATTTCTTAGTGATCTCATTAATATAGTGAAAGAATAAAAGTCCTTGTTAGTTGAAATCTCACAGGATATAAAATGAACAAATTATAATTGCTTGTACCATGTTAAATAAGAAATTTGATTGAATATTCATTTATATTCACACAAAAGAAATATTTGATACATGGTCAATATTTAAAGTGATAACCCATATATATTTGCATGTAAATGCATGCAAAAATTGCCTAGTTCCACTGGCCTTTATTAAAGTAGAGTGATATGGCCAAGGAGAAGATCCCCAGGAAACAGATAAAGATTTAGTCAGATTTAGTTTAATCTGACGTGAACATCTATTTATAGAGAATAAGGTCAAGCTTAAAAGTTTTTAAAGTTTCACCAGAAAACTTCATCTGAAAGTACTAGTTGCATAAAATGGAAAACAAAGTGAATATCTAAGCCAAAAGTGAATTCAACATAGTTGAGGTGTAATCCACAGGTGGGCACTGTGGGTGTTGAGCAAACACAAATGTGTCTGAGCAAGCGTCTGAAATAGGGATTGGCTAGCTGCCCTAGTAGACAGGTATCCTCAAATACAAGTGGCCAGCTACTATACACACACACACACACATACCCATGCATATATATATATATATATATATATATATATATATATATATATATATATATATATATATATATAATTATTTAAAAAATATGATTCCAAATCGCTACATAAGAGGTCTCATGTTTCAAAACAAGAGCCGAAAACTTCAATATAATCCTTTAAATTAAATTGAGTTGAAAAGTAAACAAAAATTTTAAACTGAAGATGGAACGGAGCCCATTTTACTTTCAACTCAATTTAATTTAAAAGATGCAATGAAAATATTCGTCCTTTGACAGGATTTGAACCTGCATCCTATACGGAATTGTCATTTACGCTGACGTGCCTGACAAAGGAATGGCAATAGGCTATAGAGATCTAATTTACTGCTTATAAACTTCAATTGAATTTACACTAATTATAAACTTCAAGTTTATAAGCAGTAAATCAATAAAAGTTTATAAGGTAAT